TAGCCACATTATTTTTCATTTAGTAGAAAAAATTAATAATTCTTAATTATTTTAAGGAAAAATTATAATTATACCCTTATGTTTTGCGAAAAAACTACTTTACTCTTATATTTTTAAAAATAGATTGTCATATTTTTATATTTTCAGTCTGCTACAATTTATACCCCTTCCATCCATTTTTTGCAATTTCAAACATTAAATTATTGTGATATAACATCAATAACCCTAATTAAAAAGCTACAATCTGCAGCTCCATTTTCAATCACCTCCGCTCCTCTTCAGTCATCCGGCACTGCGGATAAGTTCTAAATATATTTTTTTTCTCCTATGAATTATATTATCTCAGTTAATTTATATTTTATCAAGTCATTCATAAAAAGCTATAGTCAAAATTTTTATCTATCCATTTTTTGATATAAAAGGGATAGTATCTAGCAAAAAGGAAGGCTCTTTTTCTTCTTTGTTTGGCTGGTATTTATAAAGTATCCCACTTTAAATTTTATTTATTATGCATCTGGATATATAATTCTATTATAGAATCAGGTTCAAATATTTATGGTTTTGTGATAAGTCATTCATGAAAAGTTATAGTTTTACGTCTGTCCCTTTTTTGAGATAACTAGTCTTTTGTATAATGTGCGTTGCACATTTACTATGTTTGTCATATACTCATTTTTTTATCTATATAATATTAAAGCATAAGTTTTGTTTAGATTAAAATAAATACAAGTGGTTAATTTATATTACAATTTGTCGTACGAACTATTTACAATGCTACTTCTTATGTAATTAATTCTATTTTTATATAATGAAGTGGTCTCAGAAGAATGTTGAACCCAAATCCTAGACCTAATCCTTTAGTCCTTAATTTATAAATGCAGATTTTTAAAATCATACTAGATGTCCAAAAAGAAAATCAAGTCATTACTCAATCTCTAACCCCTGCCCTCAATACCAAATCAATATCTATATATAATTATAATGAAAAATAATATTACATGCTACTTCTTATTGTAAATTTTAATCTCTATTTTTTAGTCATAATCACAGTGTGTCTCAGTAAGGAATGTTGAACCAAATCCTAGAACCTAATCCTTTAGTTCCTTAATTTATAACATGCAGATTTTAAAATTTATACTTAGATGTCCAACAAAGAAAATCAAGTTATCTCTAACCGCCTAAGTTTTATTTATATATAATTATAATGAAAAATAATAATAAATTATTTTTTACTGCTAGGTAAAAGAAAAGAAATGAGAAGATGATCTGAATTGATAATGGAAGTCACTTTGGCCACAGTGGTCGTATTATTTATCCAGTGCATTAGAGAAATGAATATATGCACATATACATAAATTTTTGAAATCCCAAAAAGTGGCCCAAATAGAAATATATAATTTTTTTTTCTAGTTTTCTAAATACTATTTTCTTTTTAAGTCAAACAAATTTAGGATATAAGAGAAAAAAATATCAAAAAAATTAAAAATGTTTAAAAAATTAAAAATGTTTAATCATCAATAGGCCAACTATTTACTGCAATCGAGATATAAATCTCTTACTAAATTAAAATGATAATAGTTACAAATTATTCATTAGCGAAAAAGAAAATAAAAAATTATTATTAAGAATAAAACTCAAACTCACCTAAAAAAAACGTTTCAATGGAATTTTATTGCCGATGGAGAATAGTAAAATGGCTCCCGTCTTGAGCTCTGAAGTTAATGCTGTTCCTTCCTTAACAAAGCAGTGGAATCAACTGAACAGAAGCAACAAAAAGGTTAAGCTAAGGGATGGTTTGAGTGATGGTGGTGACCATGCTGACACTGAGGAGGTTTGTCATGGGACTGGTACAGATCAGAGGCGCAAAAAATCATTTAGGGATATGATTATGCATGACAGTACACAGGAATAGTTTGGCAATATGAGGACGATATCTCGAAGGATGAATCGGATGAGGACGCAGAATTGGAAGACAATCCTAATTGTCCTACAATTTGGCTTTCTGAGGATGAAAAGAAATTTTTACGTGCGCCATGGCGGTTTACGGTTATCCTAAAGGTTTTAGGAAGGTCAATAGGGTTTAACTATCTCCAACATCATCTCCGTACATTATGGGGGCTTATGTCCCCTTATGAGCTTATTGATTTAGTGAATGGATACTTCTTAGCTCGTTTCACTAATCAAAACGAGTATGAGAAAATGTTGTATGATGGTCCCTAGATGGTGGCAGGCCATTATCTTTCCGTGTGTCAATGGCGGCCAAATTTTGATCTTGATGTGGCTCAAATTGAAAAAGCGATGGTATGGGTTCGTATTCCTAACTTACCAGTGGAATATTATTCTCGTACGTTTCTATGGCAATTAGGGCAACACATTGGAGTGCCAGTCCGAATAGATGATATTACTCTTGACGTTTCTCGTGGCAAGTTTGCGCGAATGTGTGTGGAAGTAGACCTATCTAAACAATTGTTGTCTAAGTTCCAATTTCGACGAAGGATTAGACGCATTGAGTATGAAAGTATAAGTCTCATCTGTTTTGAGTGTGGTATCTATGGCCATCACAAGGAGGACTACTCGTCTACTGTCTCTCATTCTCAGTCTCATCACAATGCACACTCGGAGCATAACCATTCTAACTCGAGAGCTGCTCGGGTCCAGGCGGTGCCAGAGGTAGTGATCTTGCTGGAGGTGGTGGACAAATTTGGTCCATGGATAATTGCAAAGCGACCTTCTAGGCGGAACACCGGTAAATCAGTATCCCAAGATGACGCAATCACTAATTCTAAGGGGCATGATAAGTTTCCTAATGCAGCTAGATCTTATCCTAAATGTCTACAAGTGTTGGAAAACTTTTTTTTTATTTAGATGAGTGGTAATATTTTTTTATTTGCTTATGTTCTTTTGAGGACTTTTTGTAGTTTCAATGGATTACTTATTTATTAGTGATGTACTGTTTTACTGCACAGAAATTGGAATAAGGCGATAAAAATATGAACTTTACTTAATTATACTTAATTGTTGTGCTATATTGACTTTTTCAAGTTTTGATTTGATTTGGACGATAATTCAAATTTCATGGTATGAGAATGGTGTAAATTTGCTATCAGATTTATTGCTACTTATTTAAAGGTTTGTTATTAATTCATAATATATGAATTTTTGAAGTTTTTATTTAATTTTGATAATCACATTTTATAGAATAAAATTAGTGCTAATTTTATTATCAACTTCGCTATTTTTTTGTCAGAGACAAAAAGCTACTACTTATTTGAAGGTTTAGTATTGATTATTTTTTTTTCCACAATTATCATTCTACTATTTTATTTTGTATGAATTTCATTGTTTTATTTCTAACTTTTTTTGTTGTCTATTGCTCATTTTCATACAATCATTTTTCCTATTACAATGACATGATCTATAAAGGAAAATGAGTTGCTCTCCAACTTTACAAAGTATCAATGTGTGTATTTTATTAATTTGAGAATCAGGGTTTGCTCTCATGCAACTATCAAATTTTAGTATAATTGCCTTTACTGTTGCCTTTTACTGTCTGATTGTCAGTGCAGTCAACGATTTCATCCAAATTATATGCAAAACATCCCTTTAAAGAGGCTATGATGATATTTTGTCATAAATTATTTATCTTGCCGAGGCAATTCTTGGAAATTATAGCATAATGGGATTTTTATCTCATTTGCTCATATTCTTGGAAATTGTTAATCATTTATTAACAATTTTTATTCTGAGCCTCCTTTTCTTTGTGTTTTGTTTTTGTTTCTTCAGTTGATTTCGATTTTTTCGTTTTTTTTTTCTCTTCTTTTTTCCACTTTCTTGAAATTCCTCATCCTCTTATGTGATAATTGGGTAAAGGTAAGCTTCTCTCTTTTTCAATTTCTGTTTTATTGATTTGAAATTAGAGTTTTTTTTTCTGAAATTTAGGAATTTTTCCCTGCACTGTTAGGAATGAGCTTCGTATTTTGAGCTAATGCAAACAAGAGGAGGAAGAGAAGCTTATGAAGATAAAATATGAACATAATTTGTTTTTACCTATTTGTATAATTAGCTACTTCATAATTTAATGTCATATGAATACATAAATGCTTTGTAAAATGTCACAAGCTTTATATAAATACATACTACATAAATTGTTATAAATTTAATGCAATTGTGTAGAATTATTAATGATATAAATCAATTCACTGCAAAATAAAAATCACCCGCAGCATCACACAGGTCTAAAAAACTAGTATATGAATAAATTATATATGTGCTAGTTTCTACTATGTCTTGGTAGAAAATTGCCATTTCAATTATATCTCAGCAGACTCAGCTAGAATACACCAATATAGCTAAGATTTTAACTGAGAAAAAATTAATATCATTTCTGTTGGCTCAAGGGTCAAATCTCGGATTTTGATGATTAATACAAAACAAATAAATTTAAAAGTATGTTATTTGTGCTAATTTTATTTTATGCAAAATTTCGTTGGAAAGAATATCAAACAAGGCAAATCCTACTTTGAGCATGAAGATTTCGAAGACCTAGTAGCTAGGTATTTAGGGAAACTTTGTAGAATAGAGAGAAAATCCATATATGAGCACAAAAATCCTTTTCTCTCTCAAAAATATTTGTCGGAAAATTAGTTTTCTTCAAAATAATTTCTTTTGATATAAGTTTTTGGGAAAAAAGTTTTGATCACGGTTTTCCTTATAATTGATTTTCTTGTCAGCTAGACGGAGGTTGTAGATGATCTATAGCTATCTGGCTTTACTCTATTACAGCGGAAAGACTGACTGATTTTTGAGACTTTTGGAATGACAGTTTGGCAACATAAACCTTTTGCTTGTTTTGAAGTTGTGTAAAATGTAGACTTGGAAATCATTTGCTCTAGATCATATTCATATTAGATTCAACATTATATATAAAATCTTGATGGAATTTTTGCAATTTGATATTTTGGGATCGAGTGTTCTATTCATGAAAATTATATGCCGATGCTAAATTTTATTCCACTTTGAAATTTCAGGATCTGAAGAGACTTCTCTGGGAGTAATAGAACATGGCCTCCAAATCATTAAGACTTAGCCGATCAAATCTATCTGCGAGTTCAGATGCAACCGACGGTCAGAAACCTCCACTACCTCCAACTGTGACATTTGGCCGAAGAACTTCTTCCGGTCGCTATATCAGCTACTCAAGGGATGATCTTGATAGCGAAATTGGGAGTACTGATTTCATGAACTATACGGTGCATATACCACCTACCCCTGATAATCAACCTATGGATCCATCTATCTCGCAGAAGGTTGAAGAGCAATACGTGTCGAATTCACTCTTTACAGGTGGGTTTAATAGTGTTACACGGGCTCATCTCATGGACAAGGTGATTGATTCTGAAACAAGCCATCCCCAGATGGCTGGTGCCAAAGGATCCTCCTGTTCTATTCCAGGCTGTGATGCAAAGGTCATGAGTGATGAGCGTGGCATGGATATTCTTCCTTGTGAATGTGATTTTAAAATATGCCGGGATTGCTATATTGATGCAGTGAAAACTGGGGGTGGGATTTGCCCTGGTTGTAAGGAGCCTTATAAGAACACTGAATTGGATGAGGTAGCTGTGGATAATGGGAGGCCACTTCCACTTCCTCCACCAGGAACAGTTTCCAAAATGGAGAGGAGGTTATCATTGATGAAGTCTACAAAATCAGCACTAATGAGGAGCCAGACTGGGGATTTTGATCATAATAGGTGGCTGTTTGAAACAAGGGGGACTTATGGATATGGGAATGCCATATGGCCTACTGATGGGGGTTTTGGCAGTGGGCAAGATGAAGTTGCTGAACCCAAAGAATTGATGAATAAACCGTGGAGGCCCCTTACCAGGAAATTAAAGATACCAGCTGCTATTATCAGTCCATATCGGTACAGTTTCCCTATTCATCATTGTCTTTGTCTCCTAAGAGTCAGAATTATGATATCATTCCATTTCAAAAATTTGACTTCAAAAATTTCAATGGCTACTTTGCTCAATTTTGTTTTTACCAATTGGCACAATGGTACATCAACATGAATTTGGACTGTCAATTTTCTCTCTGTTCTCTCTCTCTCTCTCTCTCTCTCTCTCTCTCTCTCTTTGATTGGTTTACTTTTTGAAACTTTTACCGTCCTTGACTTGTAGTTTATTGATAATGAAGCATAATGATTATGCGAATTACAGTGGCAACAACTGACTGATGAAAAAGTAAAGTGATTATTAGTCATTCATGCCATATCAGTTATTCCAAATGTGGTCCAATGTTTTTTTTTTTTTTTTTTTTTTTTTTTTTTTTGTATTTTGGTTTTTAAGAAGCCAACTCTCTGTCGATTGGAACGCACATCCCTTTCTCTCAAAACTCTTACTCTAACCCCCATTTTTCTTTTCATCTCTAATCTCTTCACGTTCAATATTTAAAGTGGAAAACGAATTTTGACAATTACTTTTGAAAAACAATTGCTGTGTTTCTACATCGATCTTCTAATCTGATAAACCATTGTTTTTTCCTGCCTTATATAGCATCCGCTTTCTGTCCTGTCCTGTCTATTTAGCAAATCTGTAATTCTAGTGATGACGACAGGCCCTCTTTTATTTGTTGAAACCTTTGTGAGTCGTAATAGCTTAGGTTCAGAAGCTAATTGGAGAATAGAGGGTTTCACAAATGCGACCTTCCCTCCCATTGTGTGAATTGTAAGTCTTGAATCGAGTTTTTCTTGTACTCTCAAACTCCAAAAACAGAAAGGGTTGAGGGTTAACTAGAAAACCTTTGAAAAATCTAGTGGGGACAAAAGGGTAGCATCTACGGTTATGAATCTATGCCTTGTACTGTTGGTTTGTCTGCATAGCCCTTTTAAAAGAGATAACGTTAGTGGAGGATCTCAGATGCCGTATTGGGAGTGATGTTCAGGCGAAGTTAGTGCCGAACCACTAATAACTCTCGGTGGTTAATGCTCTTTATTTCTGGAGTTTGGTTGATACTGTCTCTTTTTACACTCTTGTTTAATTTTTAGACAACGCTGAAATTTGTTAATAAATTCTGATGTTTTAAAAACAGCAATAAGTTTTCATCCATATCTATGAACATAGAATCTTGGTATTTAAATATAATGATATACAATGTTCTAACCTGTTGTTCTATTTTCCAGTATAATTCACTTTTGGGTTTCTTTTTTTATTTTCTAAACTTTTATGACGGATGTTCTAATCTTGATAGCTCTTCCATCGTAAAAGTTGTTCTAATTTTTTGATTAAAGTCTGTGAAGAAGTTTCTAACCTTAATAACTATCTTTCACTTTGCTTTAATATATGGTTGTTGCAAACTTTATCGAGGAAGTTCAAGTTCAATAATTTTCCTTCATAAAAGTAAAGCTTCTGATATTGTAACAAGTCAGTGTGAAGCTTGTTTCTAATCAATAGCTGCATTTGCACTAGACTTTTCTATATCTGAAATTAGAACCATTGTGAGGAGATTTAATTCATATTTCTACTCTCACAAGGTTTCCTGTGGGTGTGTTTTTTTTTTCGCTGTGCTAGAATTCTAATTTCTGTTTAGAATTTCTATAAATTTATTTTCAGTTTTTTAGAACACCCACATTCACCCCCCTCTTGGGTATGTGCCATATATATTCGGTGACCCCATCATCTGGTATCGAAGAGCCTTTGGGCTCTTGACTTACCTAAGCTTAACACTTAAGAGATAAGATTCCCATGGTCCAACCCCACTTTCCTCTTACTTCTTTTAGAAGGACCGAATCTGTTTCTAGACCCTCCTTTGTTCATGGCTGCCTAATTACTCTTACTGGAAAACTAGAAATGCACAGAATTTTATGAAATCAGTTGGCTTATAAAATTGTTGAGAAACTGTTCTATAACTGGTCCTTCGCATTCCCTATGAAAACTGTATGCGAGAAATTCTACTGTAGGAGATGAGCTAGTTAGAAAAACTAAAGAAGAATATACCGATGGTGACTGGAATGATATCGCTGTAAATGCAAAGGCCATTAATATTCTTCATTGTGCTTTAAATGCTACTGAATACAGCAAAGTGTCTGGATGTAAATCTGCAACAGAGGTATGGGAAAAAGTTAAAGTAACCTATGAGGGTACAGCCAAGGTAAAAGAATCCAGAATAAATATCCTTTGGAGAGAATATGAAATGTTTAGTATGAAAGAAGGAGAAACTATTGCAGAACTAAACTCTAGATTCACCAATATAGTTAAGTTAATCCCTTTGCGAGAACTCTCGGAAAGGAAATTTCAAGTACAGAGGTGAGCTTGTTAAGAAAAATCCTTTAGAATTCTACCTAGAAAATGGGATTCTATAGGAACTGTTTGAATTTACACAAAGCAAGACTCGCCGTCATTATGAAATATCTTATAGGAGCTCTGTTTTCAAGAAGAAATGAAAATCTTCCTTGATAACGGAAGATCAAGCAAAAGAAAGGACGGGGCTATTGAGGGTAAGATTCTAGTGAACGAAAGTTCTCTGATCTTGGCATAAGTGATGATTTAGCACTTGTTGCTAAAAGATTTAAAAAGTTCTATACGAAAAGGTGGAGGACAAAAAAGTTTAATAAAGGATTTTCCAACATCCCAAAAAATCAGTAATTTGCCCCCAGAAAAAGAAACTTCACTTGAAGTGGTTTTAATGAATGCAACAAGAGCCTAGACACATCAAGCCTAATTGTCCTAATAACGGAAAAAAAAAGTCAAACCGCAAGAGAAAGCTGAACGCAGGCTTTCGTAGAGCTGCCCTGGAGTGATCAGATGATTCTAATCCTGAAAAGCCACGATGCATCAAGAAGAAAAATTGCTATCATCTGTTTGATTGGCTACTATCGACTCTGAATCAAAAGAAATCAGCACCTTGGCTTCAACACAGAAAGCCTGGAATCAACGAAACACATGGAAGATCCATGAGAATGATGAAAGCAACCCTGTGTGCCTAAGGAACGGCTGAAAACAGCAGATGTGGTAACTCTGGGACAGACTGAGCGCTTGCTCTACGGCATATCGACGGTCGACAAAAAGGAAGTTCAACGCGAAGATTAAGAAAAGTCAAAAAAGGGAAGGTACGGTAAGCTTGTAGACCAAAGCAAAAGGTAAAAAATTGTTGGTATTGGGTGTGCCGTAGTTCTAATACCTTCAATAGAAGATTGTATGTGTTTAGTAGATAGGGATTACATTATTATATTGTTAAAGTGTGAAGTCAGATTCTGTGATAAAAAAGAAGAGTGGGTCTGGTGATTATTAGTATAAGTCTTGTGGTCAAAACACACTTCGCAATACTGGTTTTAATTTTTGAAGACATTTTAAGCGAGGTAATTGATTGTAAGTTTATTGATAATGAGCAATTATGATTAGTGCGGCGAAATTGTACAGTGGGGATCGAGACAGACTGAACATGAATGAAAAAGTAAAGTGATTATTAGTATGGCTGATTCATGACCATAGAAGATTGCGGGCGTCCAAGGGCGTCAGTTATTTCAATGTGGTCCAATGGGTTTTTTTTTTTTTTTTTTTTTTTTTTTTTTGTTAGGTTTTTCAATTCTACAATTAGGTTTGGCATCGCCATTTGTTTTGGTGGACAAGGCGACTATGCTAATGGAATGTCTTTTGCCTCCTGCTGCATCTCTGGTTCTTCCAACAGGCTGCTCATTGGTTTGTATTCGGGATAGTTGTCCTTTCATTGTTGTTTGACATGGAGAAGTCAGACATATAAACCCGTATGAAGGATGCAATCTGGCTTAGGGTAGGTCTGTTGGCTGGTGTGTCAGTTATGTTGTGCGCTGAGATAGTCTGGTATTTTGCTATTTTTCTTTAACGTTGTTTGTGTGGTGTGTTTCTGCGATGGTGAGATATCTATGCCGGGGATCAGATTCAGTGGGATAGCCGGGGCTAAGGTGGTTTCAAATTTTCTCCTTCAAGACATTAAAGCACTTGCTGTATCTTGCCCCATATGATTAGGGATTAGGTCTTTCAGACATCGAGAACGCCCCACTGAATTACACCCACTGAATCAGATCTCGCACACTGATCTAGCGTTGGCATCTTCCGTTTTTCATAGTCATGCTCTTCCATGTCAGCTCAGTGAAGGGCACAACATCCGAATCACAAGATGAAGTCGTATCAACTGTTGAGGAGAAATACCGAATTTTAGCCATGAAAGAAGAGAACATGTGTCGAGAGAGAGAGAGTTCTTGAAAAAGTGAGAGCAGAACACCAAAAAAATGGCATGCCAAAAAGACTCAAATTGTTTAATTTGAGAAAACACTAACAAAAAAGAACACTAAGAGAAACTAAAAAATAAAACAACAAACGATTGAGGGCAAGCCCCAGTATGTGTTTTAACGAGTTCACACACACATGCATCTTAATATGCCGCCAGGAAATGGAATGGAAACATATCATTATTTAACGGAGGATTTTCAATAAATTCAAGTCAGGTCTTGGCTTTTTGCACTGGTAATATTCCGGACTACACTGAAAGTAAAATTATGCCGGAGTTATAGCTGAACCAGGAGAAAGATATCCCTACATCTCCTATAATTGTACAAGATCATAGACAACCGAGGGATTCAAATCGACAATCTTTTGTATTCAGTGTCGTATTGCTGCTTGGAGGATGTGACACACACACTGTATGAAATTAAAATGAACACACACTGGTTTGTCGATATGCACTGGATGTAGGAGATGGATGTAGCACGGATTGCCTGAGGAGGATAGAGGGAAAAGTTGGCAGGCTATACCCTTTATGAACAGTACATACATTTTATGGAGTGGTGGCTAATTGGTCATAGAAGATTGGGCTCTTGTGGATCATAGGGTTATAATGTTCTGTAGATCTAAATTGGGTATTTCGTCCTCCTATTTCGAACTATGAGTCCGTTTTAAATAAACACGTTGGAGATCACGTCCAAACAGTTTTGAGATCCCTACAGTGTAGGTATGGGACCATCGTGGATTAGTATATTCATTAATGGCACTGTTAAACTCTTTTAGGAAAGATCTCTTGAATGAATGGCATAAGGCAGGCGTGTATTCGGACTTTAATAGGAAAGTAGAGCGGAGAAAAATAAAAGAAGTGGCGCAGCGCTCGATGGATGTATTGTGTCCACTGGATCGTGCTAGGATTGGATCCAAACATTTTCCACAATGGAGGGGACTCCAGCCGCTGGAGATTATGATGAAGTTCTATATTGCGTCGAGATTCGAATGGCCTATCCTGGCTAATACTGATGTTTCCGCGGCCTGCGGCTCTCGACAGCATAACTTCATCTTTGCCCTGACCACCTCGACACCGTAAGGTAAAATGACCCCAATCAGTAGGTGCTCGTGACCCCGAATAAAATGGCAGATCTCTAAGACCCCAAGTAAGTCCCATCAAAAAGTGATGAGTTCTCATATTCCCAGTTACTTAGGCATACAGGGATAGAATGATTATCGCAAACCCGCGTGTGGACGACAGCCTGATTATAATAGAGGGAATTCCAAATCAAAAGTTCTACTTTTTTTTTTTTTTTTTTTTTTTTTTTTTTTGTTAGTGTTTTCAATAACAATTATGGTTTTGGCAATGCCATTTTTTGGTCCAACTTATGCTAATGAATGTCTTTTGCTCTGCTGCATCTGTTCTTACAGGCTGCTCATTTGTATTCGGATAGTTGTCCTTTCATTGTTTTTGACATGGAGAGTCAGACATAAAAACGAAGATGCAATCTGGCTATGGGGGATGTCAGTTGTTTGCGAGATCTGGTTTGCATTTTCGTGGCTTCTTGACCAACTTCCCAAGCTATGCCCAATCAATCGGGCAACAGATCTTAATGTCTTGAAGGAGAAATTTGAAACACCTAGCCCTGCTAATCCCACTGGTAAATCTGATCTTCCGGGCATAGATATCTTTGTTTCTACTGCGGATCCAGAGAAAGAACCACCTCTTGTAACTGCAAACACCATTTTGTCAATTCTAGCTGCTGATTACCCTGTTGAAAAACTTGCTTGTTATGTTTCTGATGATGGAGGTGCACTTCTAACATTTGAGGCCATGGCAGAAGCTGCAAGTTTTGCTAATATTTGGGTTCCTTTCTGCCGTAAACATGATATTGAGCCCAGGAACCCTGAGTCTTACTTTAATTTGAAAAGGGATCCTTATAAGAACAAAGTGCGATCGGATTTTGTCAAGGATCGCAGGAGAATCAAGCGTGAATATGATGAGTTCAAGGTTCGGATCAATGGCTTGCCTGATTCTATTCGCCGCCGATCTGACGCTTATCATGCTCGTGAGGAAGTCAAGGCCATGAAACTTCAAAGACAGAACAGAGATGATGAACCTGTGGAGAGTGTAAAGATTCCAAAAGCTACTTGGATGGCGGATGGTACCCATTGGCCAGGGACTTGGATGCATCCTGCGCCTGAGCATTCTAAGGGTGACCATGCTGGTATAATACAGGTATCAATCTTAGTACATAGTTTTATACCAGTTGTTCAGACCATCTAAACAGTGAACTGACCGTGATTTGTTCTGGTCAATATTTAAAGCAATTGGTTAGGTTTCTGATAGTTTTTTTTTAAATTACTATTTTTAACTGCATTATTTCAATAATTTATTAGTTGAGTGGGAAGAGACTAGAAAGAATTAAAATAATATAAAAAAAGAAGAAAAGGTGAAATAATCAATTGTGTGATGCAGGTGATGTTGAAACCTCCTAGTGATGAACCACTGCATGGAAATGCTGATGATACAAAGATCATGGACCTTACAGATGTTGATATTCGTCTTCCATTGCTCGTTTATGTTTCTCGTGAGAAACGCCCTGGCTATGACCATAACAAGAAGGCAGGGGCCATGAATGCGCTTGTTAGAGCTTCAGCCATTATGTCTAATGGTCCCTTCATTCTCAACCTTGATTGTGATCACTACATTTACTACTCCCAGGCAATGAGGGAAGGCATGTGCTTCATGATGGATCGAGGAGGTGACCGCATCTGTTATGTTCAGTTCCCTCAGAGGTTTGAGGGTATTGATCCTTCTGATCGATATGCCAATAACAACACCGTTTTCTTTGATGTTAATATGCGTGCCCTTGATGGTCTTATGGGTCCAGTCTATGTTGGAACTGGATGCCTCTTTAGAAGGACTGCCCTATATGGCTTTGACCCTCCTCGAGCAAAAGAACACCACCCAGGATGCTGCAGTTGTTGCTTTGGTCGGAAGAAGCATTCCTCAGTTGGAAACACGCCAGAAGAGAACAGGGCATTGAGAATGGGTGATTCTGATGATGAAGAGATGAACCTCTCCTCATTTCCTAAGAAATTTGGCAATTCGACGTTCCTCATAGATTCAATCCCAGTGGCAGAGTTTCAAGGTCGCCCTCTTGCAGATCACCCAGCTGTTAAGAATGGACGCCCTCCTGGTGCTCTTACCATTCCTCGTGAGCTTCTTGATGCATCAACTGTTGCAGAGGCAATCAGCGTTATTTCTTGCTGGTATGAAGACAAGACAGAGTGGGGACAGCGAATTGGTTGGATTTATGGGTCTGTTACTGAAGATGTTGTCACAGGTTATAGGATGCACAATAGGGGATGGAAATCAGTTTATTGTGTGACCAAGCGTGATGCTTTCCGAGGGACTGCTCCAATCAATCTCACAGATCGGCTTCATCAAGTCCTCAGATGGGCTACTGGTTCTGTTGAGATTTTCTTCTCACGCAACAATGCCTTGCTAGCCAGCCCAAGAATGAAATTTTTGCAGAGGATAGCATATCTTAATGTTGGTATCTACCCATTTACCTCCATTTTTCTGATTGTCTACTGCTTCCTACCTGCACTATCCCTTTTCTCTGGCCAATTCATTGTACAGACCCTTAATGTCACTTTCCTCGTCTACCTTCTTGTCATTACTGTGACTCTATGCTTACTTGCTATACTTGAGATCAAATGGTCTGGCATTGAGCTAGAGGAGTGGTGGAGGAATGAACAGTTTTGGTTAATTGGAGGGACTAGTGCCCACCTTGCTGCGGTGCTTCAGGGGCTACTGAAAGTTGTTGCAGGAATTGAAATCTCTTTCACCTTGACTTCAAAATCAGGTGGTGATGATGTAGATGATGAGTTTGCTGATCTTTACATTGTAAAATGGACTTCATTGATGATCCCGCCGATCGTGATCATGATGACCAACTTAATTGCTATAGCTGTTGGGTTTAGCCGAACAATATACAGTGTTTTACCGCAATGGAGCCGTTTAATAGGTGGAGTTTTCTTCAGTTTCTGGGTTTTGGCTCATCTCTACCCGTTTGCCAAAGGTCTAATGGGAAGACGAGGAAGAACACCGACCATTGTTTTTGTATGGTCAGGACTTATTGCAATCACTATCTCTCTCCTTTGGGTGGCTATCGATCCTCCGTCAAATACTACCCAAATTGGAGGCTCGTTCCAGTTCCCTTGAGAGGCCCTTCTTTTTCTGTTGAGCTGCATTTGTTCAGTGAAATTCCTTCATTAGTTCTTGGTTTTTTTTTCCCCTCATTCAAAAAGTTTTATCGTGTCGGAAAATGGATTAGGGTATGTTCTTGTTGTTGTGCCCATTTATACTAATGCTTACTTTTGTAACAGTTCTCCCAAGGATCATCAGGAACAAGTAGCTGAAATTCTAGTCATCAGTTTTCCATTTTCACGTGGATAACTAGGACCTTGCTTATTATTGTATTCTTTGTAATGTAGAAAGTGCACATTGAAAGCAGTTATTGCCAGATTTATTTTATACACTTCAAATTTACAAGTTTGCATATTTCTTTGTAGTTATGGATTCATACTCTAAAAGAAATGTTTAGAAATTAGAGGGCTACATAAAAAAAAATATAGTATCGTGAAGGAAATTTTCAAATCACACTCTTTATGGGATATTTGAAACTTATACTAAATAAGAGTAAATCTACATTCGTGTAGATAATCTAAAATTAATGGTTATGATCAATTGACAATTAATGGAAATCTATGCATCAAACTTGAATTTATTAATAATTTAGTTTTCTTTGTCCAAAATAGTTTTTTTTTTTACTTAATTATAATTGATTAAAAATTAATTTTTAAAAAAATTAATTCTTAAATTATAATCAAACTAATTATGAGATCCTTAACTTATAATTTATATTAACATTTTAATCCATCCGTCAAAATTTTGATAACATTTTGATCCCTCTATTTTTAACGGAAAGATCAAAGTGTTCATAAAATTACAATTTAAGAATCTTGTAGTTATTTTTTAAAAATAAAGATTCTCATATTTTAATTTAACTGTAATTTAAGAATTAAATTTTTTCCCCAAATTTTAAATAAAGAAATACCATGTTTAATTTTCTCAACCTTATATTTTTCAAATGGATTTATTGATTGAGTGTCGTGTTTATATAACATATTATTAATTATACAAATGATAAATTTCCCTCTTCCGTTCTTAGAAATTTTTTTTTTTTATTTTTAACTTTATTTAAGCAATGAAAGATATATGTCTTGTTTCATATAAATGCTTTGCAAATTTCATATTTACTTGTTAATGAAAATACAAATGTATTTCCTCTAAAAATAAAAAATACAAATATATATGGATATAATATGAAATTATGACTAAAAATAGAATATTTTTCCTTCCAAAAGAACGAAGATTTTTTCTATATTTATATCAAGAATATTTATATTAGGTAATACGTTGGCAAGTCTATTTGTACATGATATACCCTTCTATTTGCATTGGAAAAAACACATCACTTGGATGATTTTTTTTCCATAATTATACTATATATTCAATTTTTTCCCTAGCATAATTTTGAAATTAAGATTTTTTTCCAAAAAAAGAAAATTTACGTCAATCAATTTCTATATAGGATAAAAAAAAAAATTGGAAAAAGGGACAGCTGTAATTATTTTAAATATTTTAACATTCAAATTATATATATATTTTTTGAAGTACCCTTTTCAAGAATTGGGCTGTCTGAAGTTCTCGTGTCGCAACGACTAAAATTCATTTGGAGCAATTATACCATGTCTCTGCAAACTCCACCTGGCATCACCTCGTGACTAATACTACTTCAATGTCCGTTACTTTTTAACTTTTTATAATAATTAAAATTAAAATAATTATTGAACCACTTAAATTTAAATAAATAAATAAAGATAATTAGTTAAATTATTTTTTAATTAAAAGAGATAAAATTTCGTAGAAATACCTAAATAAAAGTTAATAAAAATTGCTGTTGAATGAAAAAGACTGGTAAATGCAACAAAGAAACAAGTTCCACCTGCCAGTCACTGTTCATATCATAAACTATTATTTTCTAAAATAAGATACAAGATCTTCTAAATATCATAATTTTCGCAATTTTTTAATTTTTTTTAAAATTTATATTTAACATACACATACTTTTAGCAATTTTAATAATACAAATGAATATGTGTGTATTTAATATATTTTTTTAAAATTTATAAAATTCGAAATATTCTATATAAAATTTAGTTGAAGAAATTTTTATAAATTTTTAGCTATTAAATTTAATAAATTTCGCTTCTTTGCTTGAAATTGGATGTCACTTTCTTTCTCATCCGCCTTCTAAATTTGTTACCTGGCTCGATCATGATCTAGCGGGTGTTTTCTATTCGCGTTCTATTTAGTTTTATTTGAGCTTTTGCTCCCCTTATCTTACAAAAAAGAAATTTAATAGATTTCAAAATTTAAATAAGTCTCATAATAATATTGTCACTATAATTTAATAGAAATATTATTATTAATAATAAAGTATTAAATAAATACATCACATAAATAAAGAGAAATAAATCACAAGAAATATATTTTTTGAGTATTAATCAAGAGAAATATTTTACTTATAAAAGTAAATTTTAGTTATACAATAATAAATTAAATTTCTAAATATCATAAAAATATATTTTCTATCTGTAAAATATGTTCTCAAAAATATTTATATTATGAAAAATAAATATAATTTATTAATTATGTATGATCTGATTGTTTATCTTATTTACGTGGAAAGTGAAAATTTTAGATTTTAAATTGTTTTTTATATCTATTCAACGATTTCAACAAATAAAAAAAATTGTTTAAAAATAAATTATTAAATTTCCATTCTATTGATATTCCATAAAATAAAATAATATATTTTTGATATAGCAAGATAAAGATAAAGTTAAAATAAAATAACTAATATAATCATAATTTCTTAAAAATAATTTCTACATAAAAGGAATAAGGAACTATCAAATATTTATACCCATTTAGAGCATCCCGAATTCCAACACTGGAAAATTGCCTGAACATATCGGTTCAATTCCCGTTGCGAATCTTCGGTCCTATCTGAAATCCCCCTGTCGTCTAATGGTGATTTACAATTCAGGTATGAGGATAGGGGCTCCATGACTTTCACCGATGTGATGTGAGGGAGATTATACAGCTTCAGATCACTCTCTGTCCGGGCCTTTGGGTCTGAAGTCCTCTTTCTTCTCGGCTCTTCACTTGTTTATCGTCCCTGCTGCGCTCTTTCGCCGCACACCGCCGTCGCCACGTGGGTAACATAATTATTGCTGCCTTTGGTATGTTAAAAAGCTGAGATTTGTTTATCGAATTACAAGATTTCAATTACTTTGTTGATTTTTTTTTAGCTTCCATGGATACCAGTGAAGACTGTAAACTGAAAAGGCAAAAACTTTGCGAGACAATCGTTGAAGATAGGATTAGTAGTTTGCCAGAGGCGGTTCTTGGCCACATTTTATCCTTTCTTCCAACTAAAACTGTAGTGCAAACAAGTATTTTGTCTAGAAGATGGAGAAACATTTGGAATTCTGTGTGTAATTTTGATTTTGAGTTTCTTTATGATGGTAATGAAGACTTGAGCAGGGTACAAAAATTTGGGAGATTTGTAGACTCAGTACTAATTCTTCGTTCTTACCCATGTATTAAAAAGTTCCGCCTTCACTTTCATTCTTCGTTACCTTGTAATGCAAGTACATGGATTCGCGCTGCAGTTAGGAATAATGTTGAGGAGCTTGATCTCGGTAACTTTCTAAGTACACTCGAGATGCCTCGGATCGTTTTCAGTTGTGAGACTATAAGGATCTTGAAGGTTTACCATGGATTTACCTTTCAGATTCCCGAGGCTGTATGCCTTCCAAGTCTCAGGGTTCTTCATTTGGTATCTCTTTTTTCCTTGAAGGATGGTGACATAGAGAAGTTTTTATCAGGATCCCCTGTTCTCGAAGAACTATTTATTAATTCGCATCATAATGATCTTGTAACAACATTGTCTGTTCAGTCCTCATCACTTAAAAGTTTGAAAATTCGGAGGAGAGATCAGTGTCGTTTTGGATTTTTTAGGCTTATAATTGATGCACCAAAACTAGAATTTCTTGAGCTGATTGATTATGTCTCTGAAGAATTTGAGATAGTGAAGTTGTTACCTTCACTAGTTAAAGCATCTGTGGATGTTAGGCCAGAAGATTTCATTTATGACAGCGTACAAGCAGCTCAGGTGTTTGGACTTCTGAAACAAATCTCTAATGTGAAATCTTTAAGCTTATTTGGAGTTACGGTTGAGGTAATTGCTTCTCTGTTTACTTTTATTTTTATTTCATTTGTATTGGGATTATGCTCACTGTCTTACACTTTGCCTTCTCAGGGAATTGATTTTGCAGATACAGGTTTCACTTACCCCATTTTTCATAATTTGATGCATTTGGAGGTGAATGCCAATGAAAATGGATGGCTCGGGTTCCTTGAAATACTCAGAAACTCACCAAATTTGGAGACAGTCGTACTCCATAAGGTCAGTTCAAATGGCTCAATTCAAATATAAAATCTATAAATTTGAATATTTCTTACTTCATATGTGATGATAGAGGAGTAAATATGGAGCTTTGTTTGACTTGATACTGTCATTAGAGTTATAGATAAATAAATTTTAATATAATTCCGTAAAATTCTATTTGAAATCTAGTAGAAGTGCTTGTTTGTTCTCTCTTTATGTTTGTTCTTGTGACTCAAAAGGAGGGGAACACCTATAAAAACCTTAGATTAAATGGAACAGAGATCTAGGGAATGAGACTCCATGCACATCTTCACTAACACAAGAATACCCTCGGGAGGCTTATGAACGTTATGTAACCCCATACTGAACTTGAGAGCTGGAATGATGGTGCCTTTTTGAAACACAAGATAGGAGTGAGTTTTTACAGGTTGTGCTGAAATTATGGAACTGTAAATGGAACTAAGTTGTATCTATATGGTATTGAACTTTCACTGGTGTTAGTTAATAAAGCTTTGATTATCTTTTGTCAACAGCATGAGATTATGCTAGAAATTTGTTTCTTGCAGTGATATCTTTTACTAATTTAAGCTTTGATTAACATTCTACTGGAAGAACTTCAATCATCTTTTGTGAACAGGACAATGATCGTTCCGATTATCCTGATGAAAGCTTTCGGGCACCAGCTGTGCCCCGATGTTTCTTCTCATCTCTCAAGAGAGTTGAACTTAGAGGATTTGAAGGAAATAGAGTGGAGATGAAAGTAATAAGATATTTCCTGAAAAATGCTAAGGTCTTGAAGAAACTTGCAATTGAATATTTGGATGACATGGATCCTAAGAAAGAGACGAAGCTGTTGAAGAAGCTGTTAAAGTTTCCAAGGGCCTCATCCACATGTCAAATCATATTTTATTGAACTCCTTACCTGAAACTTTCTGTTTTGTTGATTGCATGCCATGAACTTGCTTATGAGGGGCATTTTCTGATATTGTTAATAAGAGAGGTCTACAGGTTCCCTCTTTATGAGTTCGCAAGCTCTCTGTACTGAAGTTCTTGGGATTATATATAAAGATTTATACAATGTGTCAAAAAATATGAATTTAGTTCATCTTTCTATATCTGAGACCAACTGGTGACTGTTACATTATTAGGGTCATAAATCAAATCCTGAGACGCAATTGAGACTTGTGACAATTTATTTAGACTTTGAGCAAAATTTAATGAATTGGCAGGTATTTTCATTGAACAACTAAGCATATAATTCTCCCCTTTTGAAAGACATTTGTTGTGTTTATATCTATTATGTGTAGCTGATCCTTGAAGACCGCTTCATGAGGCGATATATATTGCAATCATGGACCAAATTTTGCACCCTAAAGCTCAAAAGAAGACCCATTATTGTGAACACGAGTCCTTTAAAGGGGAGAATTGTCATTTTGGTATAATCAGGAAGTGTGATTCTTAAAGGTGAGAATTGTCATTTTGATATAATCAGAAAGTGTGATTCCCTAGGATTGTGATTCTTAAAGGGAAGAATTGTCATTTTGGTATAATCAAGAAGTGTGATTCCTCCCTCGGATTGAAGGATAGGAAGGGAGAATTGTCATTTTGATTTGGGAGTTAGTCTAGTATACATACATGAATTTACTTCTATTTAGTACTAAAAATGTGATATTATCTGACCTACGACCCTTAGTCTAGATAACTAAGTTGAGGTCCTCATGACCAAAAGATCATGGGTGTTGTTCCCTTCCAGCATTCTAATATTATAACCTCGACCTGCCAAATTTGCACATATTAGTGTAGAAAGAAAATATACACGTTATCATAAAAGCATGCCTAGTAATTAAACTAAAAGGATAAACGATTCAAAGAGAAATTTAGAATCAAAATTTCACTAATTAGGAGAATCAATAAAGAAAATATAAAAAGAAAGAAAAGGTTTATAGCTAGAAAATGGTAGAGAAAAAGTAGATGACAAAGAAAACTTGTCTTGACTCTTTAGTAATAACTTTCAAAACTGAAAAATTCCTCACGTAGTAAACCTAACCCGTCACTTAAAAGCCAAAAAAGAAAAAACAAAAACCCTGAAAAAACATGCATGTAGAAAGCGTGAAAATTTAGTTGTTAAAGCAGCATATATGCATGTCCAAGCTAACCTACCTCTCATATTAGAAGCTCACAACACAAATATTTTCATTTTCATTTCTCAAGAAAAGAAAATACCAATGGCAACTTACCTGAAATTATTACTACTCTTATCTTCTCTTCTCTCGGCAATAGCTACAGATATTACCTCCAGAAGCCATGAACTCGATGTTGCAATTGAAGAAATGACAACGGCTAATTATTTCACCTTTGTAACCCTAATTAACATGGCTCCTTTTGATAATAGAATTCAAGAAAATATCACTTTCTTGATGCCTAATGATAAAATCTTGTCAAAAACAGGAATCTCCCAAGATTCTGTTTCTGATTTTCTTCTTCGCCATTCGATTCCTTCTCCTTTAATTTTCGAGCATCTTCAGCATATTCCATCTGGTTCTAGAATTCCAAGTTCAAAGCCTGATTACATGCTTGATATTAACAACAATGGCGGCCGGAGAAGTTTTTTTCTTAATAATGTCAAAATTATTAGCCCTAATATTTGCACTGCAGGTTTTTCGATTCGTTGCCATGGAATAGATGCTGTGTTGGTTGATATAAACAATAATACATTATCCAGTTGTTCTAACGCCAGTGCTCCTCCGGTGGTTGTGGGGGCTCCACCACCAGTATCAGCATTATTACCGCCGTTACCACCGGCAGCTGTAGCTCCTTCTGCGATTGCCTCTGATCAGATTCCTGTGGTGGCTGATAATGGTCCAAAAAAGTCAGGGTCTTCTATGTCATTTAAAATATCTTTGAAATTTACTTTTATTTTTGTTGTTATTTCAATAATTTGGTTTAATATATAGTTTAATTTGTATTTGGAATTAAATTAACCTATTTTAGTCAATGTTTTATTGGATTTAAATTTGTTTTTTAACACTATACGTATAAATTTTCTGAAAAGAAAAATTGATCTCGATGCATATAAGTTTCTTTTTAAAAGTTTTTACAAGTGCAAACTGTAAGAAAATGTTAATTTTACTAATTCTTTTTATTTAATTTATTATAATCTCTTTCTGAAAATTGTTTTTTCAAATGAATAATAAATAACAATTACAATAAGAATGTTACAGCTTCACTCTTTGTATTAAAAATGCATTAAATAATAATATAACTTTACTGATTTATATTTTTTTTTTCAAAAATATAATTTATTAATAATAATATGAAATATTAAAAATACTCAATTAAATCAAACATAAAAAACCGCAACAACAAATTGGTGGCACAACGGTTAACAGCTAGACATATGCCATCTTTATACCCATTAATTATGCACTGCATATGAAATTCAGCATCTCTTAAAGCATAAACGATAAACTTTTTCATCTACTTTAATATTTTCTATACATAAATAAATAAACATTATAACTGAATTTTCCTTCAATAATTATTGAAATTCAAAAATAATAAATTCGTTTGGATTGATGGTAGGGCACAGTCATACTCCAATACTAAAAGGGTAAAAACTTTTTAAAATTAAGACTCCAGCAACATATTTTGAGGGAGAGTTTAGAGTTTTGACTGTGTCAAAACACTATTTTTATAAATCATATCATTGGTTGGGTAAAGTAGTATATAAAATAGGTGTTAGTAGATAAGATAAAGTTTATTAAAATTTTAATCCATCTAAGTTTATATTTTCTTATTAAAATTTTTTTGACAATTATGGCCTTAATTAATTTATAGTAACATTAGTTTAAAGTTTTTTTTTGCTATGATACTGCAAGTCTGCAATTAAGTTAAAAAATTACATTATTTTACTCAAAAATTTAAACAAAATAATTTCATAATGAATTAATAAAGGAATATGTGAGGAAATTGTATTATCATTTTAGAAATGATAATGATTTCAATTTATATAATTGGACCACACACTATAAATTGACATTTTTTTTTTAATAATGAGTTCACTACTATAGTTATAAATAAAATTCTAACTCAATATTTAAATGTCTCTTTTTGTCACGTTAAATTCAATAGCTAATCAAATAATTATTTTTACCGAATACTTTTACTCTAAATAGTTATATAAACAGCTAATAGCTTGTAAAACCGCTAACAGGTACTAAAACAGCTGATATTGTCGAACAGGTACTAAGAGGACAAAATTAAAAGAAAATTTTTTTTTGCAATGTTTTATAGGGGAATTTCAAAAAATTATAGAGTTTGGGAGATCCGCCTTGTCCAGTCCCTCTCCCTCTGCCTTGGGTCGATAGAATTTGAGTAATAAAATTTTAAAATTTTATGAATTTGTTAGATTTGTTTATTTGAACTCAATACTCAATACTTGATCTTCATAAATCACATCCTTGAACTCAATACTCGATCTTCATTATTAAGATTCTGCTGGGATTAATGCTCTAATCCCGAGTGGGGCCCGTGAAGAATGCTGGTGGTAGAAGTAAAATAAAATTACCGATGATAAAAGTTAATATTGCCGATAAAGATTTAAATTACTATTACCACATTCACCTCCAATAATTTCATATTGGATATTAACGACCGAATCCACCAGAAATAATAATCACGATAAAAATTAAATAATTACCGTAAATGCCAGATAAAAATAGGGATAAAGAGATTTACGTGGTTCACCCTTCAACTATTATGGGCTACATCTATAGAACAAAAACTTCGAATAATTCTTCTACTAAAAATAGTAGGTACAAAAAAGATTGCAAAAATAGTGGCACTCTAAGTGTTTCTCAAAAACACTCCAAAAATTATAATCCTATCTATTTTCTCTCTTTTCCAATTTTAGGAACTCTTTTCTAAAATTCTCTACACTTAATTGTGTATTCTTATTCTTTTGTTTTTGTGTGTTTAGGTTGAAAAAAAACTTCTCCTATTTATAGGAGAAGTGGATGCGTTAATCAATGCATCTGCACAATTAACGCATACATCTTCGTTTTGTAGCTCCAGCCTTATTTGACCTTTTAAACAAAACGTGTTTTTCTCCTTTTTTTTTTTTTTTTCTTTTTCAAACTTGTGTGGGTCCCACACAACAGATTCGAGTTGTATAATTATGATTAAATCCTACAATTGGAGAAATAATGTAAACCAAGTAGATATATTTCTTTTTTTTTTTTTTTTTTTTTATAATATGATTAATTCCTACAATTGGAGAACAATAATGTAAACCAATTAGATATATTTCTTTTTTTTTTTCTTTTTTGTATTATATAATATAATATTTTTTTTTTTTTTTTTTGTATTATATAATATAATTACTAGGTGTATTTCTTAGTTTAAGAGCATGAAGAACTCATTTTCTATTTAGGCTGTCTCAGCTTATTGTAATTAAGCAGGGCATGCATTTACCATGTGGGAATTAAAAATTAAAATGACAAATGCCAAAAAAAATGAACCCACCCTTAGGGCATAAGCGATCCCACCCAATCTATGTATTAGATAGCCTTTGATATATCTCTATACTTTAATACCGCATAAAGGCTTCACATCCAAACATGCTTCTTTGTTACAATTTACATTCAATTACTTTATTAAGAATTGTTGATTATTTCAAGCACAATGCAAATGAAAATTGAAAATTATTATTAAAAAAATGATAATTTAAAGCGTCAAACAATTCATTTATAAATATAGAAATAGGAATAGAAAAATTCATAATTGCAATTTGGAATAATTGTTTGGATTGAGAGAAAAATATGAAGTTTCATGGAATATCTTTTCTTTTGTAGTTTTGGTTATTTCTATTGTAACAACAATTATGTAAATTTACTTTTTGTTTTATTGAAAATAAATTAGTGTTTTAAGCAGCTTATTAAGAATAAATTAGTAATTTTAGTTTATTAACACTTAAAAAATAAAATGTATATATCATAGAATATTAAAGTGTCATGTAGAATGATAAGTAAGCCAAATGGAATAGAATGTTCTTAATAATTAAACCTTATTAAAGAGAGAGAAATAAAATGAAAAAAAGCCACTTGGCAATTGTTTAATAAATATAAATAATGTCAAATGGCATAGATGGCAAATCTTCTGCTTTTAAATATGGTAATATTATACAGATAGATTGAGATTACATACCATATTAAGCGCTAAACCAATTAAAAAATTTATGAGATTGGCAAAATTTCTTATCATCTCTCTTATTGCCATTGCTTTTCTCATCTCTTCTATTAGCTCTGCAGGTCTTTCGATCTATTTAACTTATCTAATCCCGTTGGTTGGATTTTAGGCTCTACTTCGGTTTGAGTTGAGTTTGATTTTTAAAGTTCAATAAGAGTTTATTTAATTCGGTTTGATCCAGTTCAAAAATAAACCAACTCATAAACTTTGAACTCTATTTAGATTTATAATGAATGTACATATATTTTGCTACTGTTAGTCACATTTCATTAATTATTACTTTTGATTTATACTGTTTTTACAAATATCGTATATCAGTGCTAGCCATTTTTTAAAAGATGATTCATTGAAACAAAATTAAAAATAAATTTAATTAATTAATTAGAGATCAACGAGTTAAAAGAACTCTTTACGAATTTGCTTTATTTAATTATTCTAATTTTAACTTTCATTTACATTTTGTTTTATTAGTGTACTTTAATTAATAGCCAAACGAGCTTTATTTAATTAATCGCATTTGTGTTGAATCAATTGGAATAGTTCTTTCTATGATGAGGTTAACAATACTAGAAATGATAGTGTCCAAAATCTTACTTTTATGAATAAGATTCCTGCTGAGGAATAGATGTCTGTGAAAGATTTGTTACAGCTTGATTGAGACAATAATACAAAGTATATTTATTAATTTTAATATATTCAATATATACCTTATATATATATATATATATTATATAGTATATACAGTATAATATACAATTCAAAAATAAATTATTTTTATTTTTTTCAACGATAAATTTTAAATCCTTTAAAGAAAATTTTATATTTTTACTACATCTTAATATATACTTATTTAATAATCCATCAAATAGTTACTTATATTATATTTTATATCCAGTATAATATGTATATATTAACCATATTTTAAAAATACCAATTATATTTCGGTATTGTATTTTAATACAAATAACGCATATTTAAAATAAATACATATTATATAAATTATATTATATATTATATTATATTATATCATATTATATTGTATACATAGTTACTATATTATATTATATTACCATATAATATGTATATATTACCATATTTAAAATATACCATATAAGAAGGAAGCTTCTCATAGATATTCATAGATAGTGAATTGAGAGAGCAGGTTGTAAAGGTAGAAAAAGAAAATCTCAATCAAGTTTATAAATGATTGTAATGATATTGTATTTTTACTATATTTAATATATACTTTATTTAGAATTCAACAAATAGTATTTTCATATTATAATATATTGCCATATTGAAGATATACATTATATACCATATGTAATATTCTATTTATATTATATTGTTTAGATTTTAAAGCCATTTTATAAGAATAAAAATGGAACCGAATAGTATCACTATAGTCTGTGTATACCTTGTATAATATATAATATAATTTATTATTTATCCAATAGAATTTAGATTTAAATAGAAAATTAATATGACCAATTAAAATTAGATTATCTTTATTTTTAATATGACCAATTAAAATTAGATTATCTTTATTTTTTCAACCAATCAAATTAAAATCTTTAATAATATTTTTGTCACTCCATAATTTTAGTAGAGACTTTTTTAATAATTCCAAAGTCCTTCCACCATCTCACATTTATAGGAGTTTTGTTTTACATGTTTTCGGTTTCAAAACCGTCAATTCTAGTTATAAATCAATCAAATTAAAGATTTATTAAAAATAATAACTAAACATATTATTCTTATCATATTTAATATGTATCTTATATAGTATAATGTAACCAATCAAAATTAAAATCTTTAAAATTGGTCCGTTGGAATATGCTTGTTGGTTGTCATATACAGTCATTATCTGTGAGTGTAGGTTGTCAGATATAGTCATTAGCTGTGAGGGTTATCGGATACAGACAATATCTGTGAGAATTTTCCTTCTCATATACATCCAAAGTAACGTCTATAGTGGACTGACAGAGTGAACTGTAAAAGTAAAAAAAACATCTCAAAAAACATCTCAATCAAGTTAATAAAGGACTGTGTTGATATTATATTCTTACCACATGTTAATATATACTTCATTATCAAATAGTATTACCATATTATAATTGATGATTTTAAAATCTTTGGTGGTATTTTTATCGATTCATAAATTTAGTATACGTGTTTTTGATAATTCTAGTGGTCCCCACACATTCTCACTTTTGTAGGAATATTATATTATATTGTATCGATTTCAAAACCATTGGGTATAGTTATAAACCAATCAAGTTAAAGATTTATTAAAAATAATAACTAAACATATTATGTTTTTATCATATTTAATATGTACGCCTTATATAAGAGTATCACATAACCAATTAAAATTAAATTACCTTTATTTTTTTTAATCAGTAAAATTAAAATCCTTAAAATTGATCCGTTGAAAAAAGATTGTTGGTTGTCGATTATAGTCAATATCTGTGAAATGCTTTCTTCTCATACATATTCAAAGCAACGTCTGATAGTGGACTGACAGAGCGAGCTGTAAAGGTAAAAAGAAAACAACACAATCAAGTTAATAAATGATTGCGCTGATATTATATTCTTACTATATTAATATATATTTTATTTAATATCAATTAAATAGTATTACCATATTATAATATTATATTATATTATATTATATAGTTTCAGTTTCAAAACTACCTATTTGAAAATCTTTAATGATATTTTTTTCAATTCATAAACTTATCTTTATAATGATATTTTTTTTCAATTCATAACTTAGTAGGATGCAGTATAATTTTACTGTTCCCTCATACATTCTCACTTTCTAGGAATTATAATATTATATTATATTATATTATATAGTTTCAGTTTCAAAACTACCTATTTGAAAATCTTTAATGATATTTTTTTCAATTCATAAACTTAGTGGATGCATTTTTTATAATTTTACTGTTCCCTCATACATTCTCACTTTCATAGGAGTATTATACTCTATTGTTTCGGTTTAAAAACCGTGAGTTCCTATTATAAACCAATCAAATTAAAGATTTATGAAAAATAATAATTAAACATATTATATTTTTATCATATTTAATATGTACCTTATACAGGAATATAACATAATCGATCAAAATTATATTACCTTTATTTTTCTAACTAATAAAATTAAAATTCTTAAAACTGGTCCATTAAAAAAGACTTGTTGGTTGTTGGTTACGGTCAATATCTGTGAGAAGATTCCTTCTCATATATATCTAAAGTAACGTCTGATAGTAGACTGACAGAGCGAGCTGTAAAGGTGAAAAACTATCTCAATCAAGTTAATAAAGGATTGGGCTGATATTATATTCCTACTATATTAGTATATACCTTATTTAGTATAAATCAAATAGTATTACTATATTATATTATATTACACCATATAATATAATATAATATAATATATATAATACACATTATCATATGATACATATATATTACCATATTTAAGATATACATTATATACCTTATTTAATATTATATGGTTTTGGTTTCAAAACTAGTGGTTCTAATTATAAGAAAAAAAAGATGGAACCAAATAGTATTACTATATTTTATACATACCTTATATAGTATATAATATAATTTTTTATTTTATCTAATAAAATTTAGCTTTAAATAGAAAATAGATATGACCAATCAAAATTAGGTTACCTTCATTTTTTCAATCAATCAAATTAAAATCTTTAATGATACTTTTATTTTAATTTATAAACTTAGTAGAGACGTTTTTAATATTCTTCCGCCCATTCTCACTTTTATAGGTGTATTAGGTTATATGGTTTCGATTTCAAAACTGTCAATTCGATTTAAACCAATTAAATTAAAGATTTATTAAAAATAATAATTAAATATATTATATTCTTACTATATTTAATATGTATTTTATGCAGGAGTAATTTTATTTTTATTAAAATTTAGTTATCAAATTATAGTTGAATAAGAAAATTTATGTTGTATTATAATGTGATTTACATTATACAACATTTTGTGTAGGTGCAAGGTATATATAAAAGAAACAAGAAATCATAATTAGATATTGTAAGATCAGAATCAGATACACTAGGATTATAATCAGATATTTTATTTTATTTTAACAATTATAATAATATTTTATTATTATAAAAGTGTTATTCCCTATACAAGGTTATTAATTATTGATTTTTTTGTTTTATTATTTCGTAAAATATATATTTTTTATTTTATAAATACTTATTAATGTCCAATATAAATTGTTGATAATATTATAATAAAATAATAAAAAAAAATATATGTATAAACTAAATTACATTTACCCTTATAGCCAACGTGGAGGAGACGTTGGAGAAATCTAGTAATAAAAAAATGCTTCACCAAGCATGAGATAACAGATTCAGCTTTTCCTTGACAGGAACCAAAATTGGGAAATTATTTAGTTAGCTAAAAAAAATTAGAAAATGAAAAATCAAATTTAATTAATATCAACCATTGCATTGAACAGTCGCTTTAAAGGGTAAGCAGGGAGAGTTAGGTAGAGGGAAAATATTTGATGAGAGAGAGCAAAGCCAAAAATGAGAAGAAGAATAACAATAAGACCAACAAAAAAAAAAGGGTTGGGTTCGATTTGGTTTTGATTTGGTTTGGTTTGGTTTGGTTTCTTGAAAATGAGACAGGGGCATGCTTTCTTCTCCATACTTCCCTTTCTAAATCCACCTACTTCTATTCTCACCCAGTCTTTAAACCTGTCCTCTTCTCCTTCCATTCTCTTTATTACAGTATCTCTTTTTTCTCTATCATATGCAGACATAATTACTTTAAATAATAATATTGACGAAAAATTAAAGTCCTTTCTTGACTTATTTATGATTCTATATAATAAACTAACTTCACACACATAACAGGCTTTTCAAGAAACAAGAAAAGAAATAAAGAAATTAAAATTCAACTTCAAGAAAACCAAAAGCCATGATATCCTTAGCCTCTGTTGAACCTCCTGAACAAAAACCCTCTCCTCCTCAAAACCAAGATCGTTCTTCTTCTTCCTCGGAAACCCATATTTTCAGATCAAAATTACCAGACATACCCATTTCTAATAATCTTCCTCTCCATACTTATTGTTTCGAAAATCTTTTTAATGTTTCTGATAAGCCATGTCTTATATCAGGTTCTACAGGCAAAACCTACACTTTTGCAGAAACTCATATCATAGCTCAGAAAATAGCTGCTGGTTTATCGCATTTGGGTATCAAGAAAGGCGATGTTATTATGGTTCTTCTCCAAAACTGCCCAGAATTCGTCTTTTCTTTCATTGGTGCTTCCATGATCGGAGCAGTAACCACTACTGCTAATCCTTTTTACACCAAAAATGAAATTTTCAAGCAAGTGATTGCTTCGCGTGCTAAGTTAATCATTACCCAATCCTTGAATGTTGAAAAACTAAAAGATTTGGAAGAAAATTTTATTCTGATCACCATTGATGACCCACCAGAAAACTGTTTACATTTCTCAGTACTTTCAGAATCAAACGAAAGTGAAATTCCTGAAGTTGAAATAGATCCTGACGACCCCGTGGCTTTACCATTTTCTTCAGGAACGACAGGATTGCCTAAAGGAGTGGTATTAACACATAAAAACTTAATTACAAGCGTAGCGCAACAAGTGGATGGAGAGAATCCAAACCTTTGGTTAAAAGAAGAAGACGTTGTTTTATGTGTATTGCCTCTGTTTCACATATATGCATTAAACAGTGTTTTGCTAAACTCGCTTAGAGCTGGAGCCGCTGTGTTGTTAATGCAAAAGTTTGAGATAGGAACGTTGTTAGAACTAATTCAGAGACATAAGGTGTCTGTAGCCGCGGTGGTGCCGCCGTTGGTGTTGGCGTTGGCGAAAAATCCGATGGTGGCTGGATTTGACCTTAGTTCGATCAGGGTGGTGCTTTCAGGGGCGGCGCCGCTTGGGAAAGAGCTGGAGGATGCTCTCCGGAGTAGAGTGCCTCAGGCGATCTTAGGACAGGTTAGTAACAGCGTCACTCAATATAATTTATTTTTTTTAATTTTTTTTTTTTAATGGGTAATCCCTCCCCCCCTTTTTTTTTTGTGTCATTTTACTTTGCGTCACTCAATATAAATTTATTTTTTAATTTTTTTTTTTTAATGGGTAATCCCTCCCCCCCTTTTTTTTTGTCATGTCATTTTACTTTTTTTTTTTTTTTTTTTCTTAACTCTTTCGATCTGAACTTGACCGATTTTTTTTTTTTTTTTTTTTTTCTTTTAACTCTTTCGATCTGAACTTGTGTCGTTTTCACTTTTTTGGGTTTATTTTTCTCGGTGAGATTTTTAAAAAAGAAAAGGAGGATTTATATTTTTTTTTTCTTAATTTGCATTTTTCAATGATAAACTTCAAGTTAATTTATCAAGTTGAACTCTCGTGATGATAACTAAATAAGAGTTTAATTTAGATTTCTTTGCACCAGTACCTAGAGATGGGAGCGGAATGAATATTTTAGATCACTCATATAAAAATCCGTTTAATAAAAATATGAATAATTATAAATGAGTTCAGAATGAATAGTGAATTATCAGTAGTAAATACAAATAGGATACAGGCATAAATCTAGTTATCCACTACTCATTATCCGTGATATTAAACAAATTATTAGTTGTGAGCATAACCCAGTTTCTGAGGCAAGCTAACAGGGTCGGTTCAAACCGGAACTGTATCATAAAGGGGATTGAAATCAACTTAAAAATGGCTCAGATTTGAATTAGTTTCAATTTCAATATTTGAAAGTACAATCACTTGGTTTTGAATCAAAATCAAAATTGAACCAACTAGTTTGAAACTGATATCAGTTTTATTTCTAAAATTTTTGAACAATTAATTTATGAATGGGTCGATCATGCTTTTTTTTTTTTTAAAGATAAAGAATAATTTCATTTCATATCATAGAAAGAAACTAAATAGCTTGAAATTATATTCCAAACTTGAAGACAATCATATTTATAGGAAGCTCGTATTAATGAATGAGTTCGAATTAAATTGCCTTCTGATTCATCTAATGGGTCTTTTAGGATTAAAACTCAATTCAACTCTTTTCTTTTTTATTTTTAGCCCAATTACCATTTTTAAATCATCAGATTCAACTCTCAAATCAAAAAATTAAAAGCTTTATTCTAGATAATATTTAGGCGAAATTTTTATAATATCAAAAAATAACTATACCAAACTCTTAATATTTTCAAATATATAAAACTCTAATTAAATATTTTCTTTATGTTTCCGCTTTCTAACAAAGCTAAAAATATTTTTTTACCTTTTTTCTTTAATTTTTCTGTTGTCAACCTAAATCTACATCTTCTAATTCTATCTCTCTATCATTTTTTAAAATTAATTATTCTCTATTTTTTCCAAGTTACACGTTAAATATATCAAGTTAATTTTTTTTTTGAAATAGTTATATTTCAATTAGTCATTATGTAGATTACAATAACGAACAATTATATAAATGCAAACTTTACTATATAAGATTTGGGAAAAAAAAATATAAGAAAAATTGTTCAATTATTATTGTTATCACCACTTAAAATTTACAATTTAGAATAGTGGACGAAATAAAATTTATTATATTGAAATTTGAGAATTAAATTTACCTATCTCGACTTAATTTTCTGGCTTCACCTCTGCCATATATTTAATTAGCTATTACTTCTGGACCCTAATGTCTAGTCACACATAATTCATGGGATAGTCCCACCCAATTCACATGAATGACATCAAAGCGGAAGTCTTTACTTTTTTTTTTTTTTTCTTTTTTTTGAAAAACGTTCATCTCTGGCTTACTGATTTTAGATACTAAAACATTTATCTTAAAGCTATAATAAAGATTTAGTAATTTAGGAAAAAATTTAAAATAAAGAGACAAGAAAGCTAGTACAGAAAAGGAAATTACGTGCCAAAAGGTAAAGAAATGGTGAGTTGGTTTGATGAGAACCATGAATTAACAATATTTTTAAATATTTTTTGCCAATTTTGCGGCTAATAATGGCCACATGATTTCTGCAGCCGCACATCACATGGGATCTTAATTCTTAAATCAGATTCAGGAGTATATAAATGTTTTGCCGGTTCTTTACTTTTCACCTTTGTGTTGTAAATACTTCCTATCTATTGATAGCTATATGTAACTATCCAAATTTTAGTTTTTTTTTATTAATTTTTAACCACAAAATATAAATTTTTTAATAATTGTTTTTATTTTATTTTTTTTATAGTGAATAGTTAGAAATATTTTTGTTTTTTTAAAAAACATTTTATTAATGTGTTCAACCATAGATGGAACAGGTAAGTCATTCTCAACGGAAAATATGATATTAATTACTTGTCTTAAAAATGTAGGGCTATGGGATGACAGAGGCAGGGCCAGTTCTATCAATGGGCTTGGGGTTTGCAAAGCAGCCAATCCCAGCTAAGTCAGGCTCATGTGGAACTGTGGTTAGAAATGCAGAGCTCAAAGTTATTGACCCTGAAACTGGTTCATCTCTTGGCTACAACCAGCGTGGTGAAATTTGCATACGTGGACAACAAATTATGAAAGGTTCATACAGATATATACGTATATTTTGTTATTTTTAAAATTTTTTTATTAATTTAAGCTTTAATATACTTTTAACTCTAGTTCTTAATCATAATTATTATTTGTTAATTGATAAATTAAAATAATTTATTAGGATATTTGGATGATCCTGAGGCCACAGCCAACACAATTGATGTTGAAGGTTGGCTTCATACTGGTGACATTGGTTATGTGGATGATGATGATGAGATTTTCATTGTTGATCGAGTCAAAGAAATCATCAAATTCAAAGGCTTTCAGGCATCTTCCCTACTAATTTCTATCTTTATTTATTTATTTTTCTTGTCAAGAAAGAAAAATTTTTACCTAAAAATTAATTTTTTTTTAATATTTTGTTCTGAACTTTTGTGTTCAGGTTCCACCAGCAGAGCTCGAGGCCCTCCTTGTCATCCATCCATCAATCTCAGATGCAGCTGTCGTTCCGTGAGTTTCAGCTTTAGTAGCAAAGATTGCTTCTTTTTTTCTTTTTTTTTTTTGAAAAGGAGCAAAGCTTGCTAATACCATAATTAAAACATAATTATATTCAAACTAAGGCCTTTATTATTATTATTATTATTATTGTGTATTATCGTGGATGTGTTTGTTAATTATTAGGCAAAAAGATGAAGGTGCTGGTGAAGTTCCTGTTGCATTTGTGGTTCGATCTAATTCTAATGGGCTCGAGCTCACTGAAGAAGCTGTAAAAGAATACATATCAAAGCAGGTAACTGGAAAACAGAATATAAATTCATGTTTAGAAGAGATTTTTGCATTTGCTTTCCATTATGATTGGATTACTTTTGATAAACTCTATTTGCAATATTTAAAGTTTAGCAAATATATAGAAGTAGATCTGTAAAGTAATTGTATTTGTGCTTCAAACAGGTTGTGTTCTACAAGAGACTGCACAAAGTGTACTTTGTGCATGCAATTCCCAAGTCTCCCTCTGGAAAAATATTGAGAAAGGGCCTAAAAGCAAAGCTAGCCGCAGCCTCTCCATTGTCTTAGAATCCTTTCTGTTATTTCAACTTCTCTTAGGCATTATATTTAATGTCTCCATGGAATATGGAAGAGAAATCATCTTCTTCTAAATTATGTTTTTTTTTTTTTTTTTTTTTTTCCCCATTGTCTTAGAATTCCTTTCTGTTTATTTAACTTCTCTTAGGCATTATATTTAATGTCTCCATGGAATATGGAAGCAGAAATCATCTTCTTTCTAATTTTATGTTTTTTTTTTTTTTTTTTTTTTTTCTTGCATTTTTTTTTTTTTTTTTTTTTTTCTTGCATGAATCTAATGAATTTTTCTTTCATGTGAATCAAAAGCTCAAACTTTCTTTTTAATTATATATATATATATATAGATGCAATTGGGTTAAAGAAAAATGCAAGGAAATCTGATAAAAGTGTAGACTTCCATATATATATCCAAGCCCTATTTTAGTTTAGGAGAGATTTTAAGAAGCTATAGAAATTCACTTGTGATTTGGATTAATAGCAATAAACCATATAGAATTTCATTGGAATTTATGAATTATTTTGCTCAAAACTCTAATTTAGTTCTTAATTTTAAAATTATGAATTAGTTGTCATACTCTAGTTCTTGAGATCTGAAATTTAGAATACGCATTAATTTTTAATATTTTAAAATTTATTGCACCTTTCAATGATTAAAATTCAAGATATTTTAATCCCTCAAGATTTTGTATTTTTTTTTAAGACTATAATTGTTAAGATTTTTTTTTTTTTTTTTTGTTTTGGTAATTTTTTTTTTTTTTTTTTTGGTAATTAATCCTACTACGATCAATTTCATGGTCTCACTTTGTAAATGAATTTTATAAATTCATTAATACGAATAATTAAATCCATAATTAACAGGGTGATGTCATAGTAGCAATTTGAGGCTGTCAAATGATTTATAGTTGTTACTTTAATATCTCAAATTAATTTTTATTATCCTTCTGGAGAGAATTCCAAGATTAGTTAAATAATCCCTTTGCATAACACTTCCCATTTGTAAATCATGCGCAAAAGCAGGAGGATGCAATTGTCATCTGCTCCAGTAAGGTAGTAGTATGCTAGAGGATTCCCTTGCTATGCTAGAGTATTCTTCTTTACACCCGGTTGTGGATTGTAAACGAGCTAAGTCTGTTGGCAAATGAAAAGTTTCAAAAAAATTGACTTTAATCAAGTTCGAGCTTAATGATAGCTCAAAAACTATCGATACTTATTGAGCTCTATCAGCCTTTATATATATATATATATATATATAATATATATATATATATATATATATATATATTATTTATTTTAAACTTATTTGAGCATTCCAGGCATTAAGTCCTATGAAGCCAAGCTTGCAATTTTTAAAATTTTCATATATATTTATTTAAACTTATTTGAGCATCCAGCATTAAGTCCTTGAGCCAAGCTTGAATTTAAAATTTTTCGAATTGAACTAGAGCCTCAAGTAGAGCTTGAGCCTAAAATTTTCAGACTCGTCGAGTTTTGAGCTGAGCTTCAAGCTTGGCTGGTTCAAACTCTACTCGGCTCATTTACATCCTATTTACAACCCACACTAGCACTTCAGGATAATCCTAAGGAAATTTCCCAAGGATAGAGAAAGACCTTCATAGGAAAACCTCTATTGAATGCCGTTTCTAGAGAGCCTTCACCATGACGACTGAGTCGAGATTCATGACAAGGTGAATAGGAACACCCTAACCATCAAACAATCAAAATTACCACTGACTACATCTTTCTTCAGTAAAACAAGGAAACAACATAGCTTAAGGCAAAGACCAGAAGGTAAGAACATTGAATACTAATAAAGCAGGATATTGATCATGTCAAACACTTTATTCTGTTGATACTGAACACATTATAATATCTTCAGTACAAGGATTTATCAATTGAAAGCGCAAAACGATTGAAACAAGAAAATGTAAATGCGCATCGACTGCCTGATAACAAGCATCATGTGCGAATGATTAACAGTACAAGTAAGATACCGAAATTCCTAGTGATGATGATCTTGGACGTAGCGTAGACCACAATACTTACAAACGGCTGGCTCCTTTAAGTCAAGGCATATGAACTCAATTGGATGCCCAAGTGCAGGGTTAGTGTCTGCAACAAGAAACAATAAACAACAATGACAATGTTAATCCTGATTATCCTTTTTATGTCTTTTGGAGAAAATACCTTGAACAAATGAACAACTAACCTCCCTCGCATGCAACAATCCTGCCTTCAACCTTGATGGGGGGAATTTCATTGATCAACTCCATTGGAGATTTCTTGGTAGTATCCTAAGTAAAAAAGTAATTTTGGTTATTTGAGTCACTTCTTTAGATCAGACATCCCCAACCAACAATTTAAATGAAATTGACCCAAACATCAATTTGCAAGTAAATCTAGTTAACGGGCAGAATGACAATAGTATAACAACAGCAGATGCGGTAACTGCCGCACAAAGTCACTGGTGTAGCAATCAAAGGCCATAACGCCATAAGCATAAACCACAAAATCATAAAACAAGAGTAAACTCACTTACTAACCAGTAACTTACTTTAAAAATAAAGGGAAAAAGAAAGAAATGAGATGGAAGTCTGAATGATATGGAGGATTTTCTGTAAATAATTAAAATGTCAATAAAAGAACCTGAAAAGGTGCAAGAATACAGGAAGAAATTAATTTAGAAGAACTCAATCACAATCTAAAATGAAAGCTTCCTTCTGGAATAGTCAAGGGCATCTATTTCTTGGTATAAATTTCACTAGGAATAAATAGAAGCCCATTACAGCATCGCTTCTTGAAAGCATTCTTTTCATCTTAAATTCTTGTAACCTATGCTCACCTAATCTCAAGCTACTTGAACATCATTAGGGATGTAAACAAGTCAAATTACCCGTGAGCCATTTAGGCTAAAGCTAGCAAAATGTTCAAATTTGACTCAACTTGAGCATCTCAGAAGCCCAATCATTATTAATTGCTTTTACATATAATATTTAAATAATAATTCATTACAAAGATTACAGTAATCTGAGCTCACTCAAATTCAAGCTTAAATTTGAACCTAGCCAAAAGCTTGATTTGTTTTAATGTTTGTCTAGTCAACTCGTATGAAGTTCAAGTCTAAAGCTATTCCATAGAGTTTCTGAGTATATAAAATAAACTTTCATCATGAACGCGTCAAGTACTAATCCTTGAGTTGTAAAACCCAGTCAAATTGGAATTGTATGCTATATACCTTTACAACATCTCCAGAAATTATTAATAGACCAACCAGGTAACAACCCATTAACTTCATCAATATGGAAAAACTATATCAACGATGAGATATTTGTCATGCTTTATTGTCTTAGAAAACATTAAACTGCCCTAAAAAGGAAAATATAATCACATGCAAGGAAATATGTTCTTCAAGGAGAGAGAGTACAATGGCACATATAATGAAACAGGAATCAAGCAGGCAGAAATCAGAATAGATTACAATCAGGCCACATACTGCAGCAACAATTAAAAGATTGGAATAGCAAATTGAAGCAATGAATAAAACTGCCCCACAAAATGCACAAAAAAAAAAAAAAAAAGAAAGTCATTGAAAAAGATTGGGAATAAGCAAATTGAAGCAATGAATAAAACTGCCCCACCAAAATGCACAAAAAAAAAAAAAAAAAAAGCAAGTCATTGGACAGGGGAATAAAAAAAAAAAAAAAAAAAGCAAGTCATTGACAGGAATATTATCTGCTAACGTAAAAATTTCAAAAATAAGAATGTATGTCATCAATTTGAGATCATGGCTCCATGACATAAGCTGAATGCTAAGCTATGACACACAGGGTACTCACTCAGCTGAAATAGGCTTAATAATTGAATACACAACACTAGCATTGACTTATCTCTAACACCCATAGGAACAGTTATATTAGAACTTATTCTCCACTAACTAAAGGGAGAGCAGCTTTATAAGGGCGCTAAGCATTTTCATCAAGAAGAAAGGACAATTATATTTGAAATTCACAAACAAAGACAAGTGTAAAAATGTCTGAGAATATGGCCTTTTGCAAGTCGCTAAGCGAACACCCTGAATAAGTGATTTTCTTGCTTGATAATATCTTGTGTATGTATATTTTTTTTTTCCTCTAGGAAAAATGGCAATATGTGAACCTAAAGGCTAAACTCCAAACCAACCATACAGGCTACAAGTGTCAAGCTAAAAGCCACAAACAACAGAAATTTCACAGCCATTAAATTGGAAAAGAAGAAAATATTGTTTCACTCCAGCATAAAGCAGTTTATTAAAATTCAACTGCTAAGAGTTTAAACCTCTGTCCAAGAAATGAGAAATAAATAAAATTCTCCCACCCATGGCTGTCAAAAAAATCTACAAGACACATTTTTTCCCAACAAGCTAAAATGCTTTGCCGTGACATTAAAAATTTCATATAGAATTTCCATATATGTAATCAGTTTGACCTATATGCAAGTTAAAGACAAAATATTTCGTTGTTGAATGGATGGGATTTCTATATATAAAAAAAAAAAAAAAAAAAAAAAAAAAAAAAAAAAAAAAAAAAAAAAAAAAAAAAAAAAAAAAAAAAAAAAAAAAAAAAAAAAAAAAAAAAAAAAAAAAAAAAAAAAAAAAAAAAAAAAAAAAAAAAAAAAAAAAAAAAAAAAAAATTTATTCAAGTCAGCAAGAACCCCTAAACCGATTTCGTTTTTACTTGAGCTTTACACGAAAAAATTTCTTTTACTGCGCCACAATAGCCTTAGCAAACAAATGAAAAAAAAAAAAAAAAAAAAAAAAAAAAAAAAAAAAAAAAAAAAATTTATTCAGTCAGCAAGACCCCTAACCGATTCGTTTTACTTGAGCTTTACACGAAAAATTTTCTTTACTGCGCCACAATAGCCTTAGCAACGAAATGAAATGATTACCAACTAAAAAACTTTCATGATCGATTCAAATATCTGAGGACAACTCAAATTAGATCAACTACACCACAATCTCCCAGCTCTCGCCCGTGAAACCAAAATTTCAACAGTTTTAAAATACCTAACAACATTACTCGATTCTACCATTTCCAAATTTCCAAGTGGCAAAGTTCTTTTCTTATCAAAAAGAATCAATTAAGCAGGCAGAAAAAAGGTACCTGCATCCATTTGGCTGTGTGGTTGCTGATTTGACTGGTAACAAGGCTGAAATTTCTGGTGCTCTGTCTCAAATTGGACGATCTCGTTAGGGTTCTCAACAAACTCGACGCCATTGTTGATACCTGCAATTTTAGAGAGGTTTTTAATTTAGAACAGAAATGGTCACCTTATAGATTTGCATGGACCAAGCGGATTGAGGCCCATTAATGCAAAGGCCCATTAAAAGAATAGGATTCTTTACAATCCCATAGAAAATGATTTATTTTTCTTAATTATAAATTTAGTGTTTAAATTTTAGAAAAATTTATATTTCAATATTTCAATGGAAAATATTTACAATCAAGTGTCAGAATCGATAAATTTTTTTCAATTAAATGTTTCAATTAAATGTCTCCATCTATGTGGCTTGCTAAAAATATAAATAGAACGTATGAGACCATTAATTATTAAAAATAACACTGTGTAGGATTTCAAATAGCTTGACACGTCAAATCTGACGTTTCAAGCAGTGTATCAAACCAGTATTGCTTAATTAAAACGAATCGAATTAAAAATCATCTACAATCCTCTACGTGCTTCTTCCTTCAAGCGATCTCTGATCGCTCTTCATTCTACATGAACCCCAGCCCGCTCCCGATTGCTAGCGCCACCATCACCAGCTAAGCAATAAGGGACTACCACCTCCGGTCATTTTTTGTGACCCAAAAATGAAAATAAAGTACACCACAAGGATTCTCCTCAAATAGAGACATAGTCATATACGAAAATCATGATCTAACAACTGATTTGTGTACCAATTAATCCAATTAAAAAAAATTCTTCTAGAATTCTTTGAGAATTTTTATTGAATACAAAGTGAACCAGCAACAAATAACTTTATTAAAAGTCACTAACTTGAAGAAACCCCCTATACAAATGTAACAAATAGAATAACCACCGTAGTAAACACCAAATGAACTAAGTCAACAAATGAATCATATTAAAATTGGAAAAAAAATAATAAGAAGAACAGAGTACAAGTAGTTCTCTTTAATGTGATTATAAGACTGCAGTGATATTACCGATCCGAAGATAATATAAATTGAAAGAAGAAGAGATTACTAAGAGAGAAAAGAGCGAGTGGATCTAAGAAATGAGTGATTTTATTTTTGTCGTTTGGCCCTCTTTTCGACATCGAAGGGGAGTGGAATGGCGTGGGACATTCTGCCGGAGTTTATAAAACCTCTCCAGTCATCATCGTCATTACCAGAAGCCGAATCTTGACCATTAACAAAAGTGATATTGGAATGAATGGTCGAATTCGATGGCGCGACCCAAAACTGTTTGCAAAGATTGGTATAAGAGGAAGGGTAAGGCCGTTTTTGACTCACCTAGTGCACTAAAACTCGCCGGCGGAGGCATTGGTGGCAGGAGTTAAGAACTGCCCTCCTCTAGCTTGTCCTTTCACGCAATAGAGGGTCAAAGGAAGAATCACTTTGGGTCACGAAAAGTGACCGGAGGTGGTGGTCCTTATTGCTTGGCCCGTGATGGTGGCACTAGTAATCGGGAGCGGGCTGAGGTTCATGGAGAATAAAGAGCAATCAGAGATCGCTTGAAGGAAGAAGAACGTAGAGGATTTTAGATGATTTTTAATTCGATTAGTATTAATTAAGCAATACTGGTTTGATACCCTGCTTGACACATCAAGCTATTTGGCGTCCTACGGAATGTTATTTTTAATAATGGCGTCCTACATAATGTTATTTTTAATAATTAGTGAATTCCTCGTGTCCTATTCATATTTCCGACAGAAAAAACATTATCTATTCCAACATTTAATTACAACATTATCTATTCCAATACTTGATTACAAACATTTTTTATGGAGACACTGAAATAGAAAATTTTAGAAAGCTAAACACTAAATTTATAATTAACCCTCTTTTTTTTAGAAGGAAAATGATTTTATTATTTCAAAATAATAAAAGATCTCTTCTATTGCAAACAGTACGAATATAAATAATGATTTTTTAATCTTTTTTTTGTGAAGAAAAAAATTAAATTCATCAAAAAATAAAAATATTTTGAAGAAATATTAAATTCAATCAGCCCAAATTCAAATTTTCTGTTTGATTGAATAAATTTTAAATAATTAAGGAATCATTTTACATGTTAACAAGCCGCATGAAATTATTGACTTGTCGTTCGACGATAGCTGATATGCTGCAATGGATAGTTATCTGAGTTCACGTATTCCCCCAATGAGAAGCCCTTCTTGATATTCCATTTATGGATTTTTTAGAATGTTCGAAGTTTACACGAACTGTCGTTCGACTACCGTGATATGCCTCACTTATCGTCTACTGTTTAAGTTGCATTTTCCCACGAGTTAAACGACACCTCTTTACCGATATTTTCTCCATGTAAGGGCACTTTTAGAAGTGCTGACTTGCTAAAAGTGACTTGCAGTTTCAAGGATATCTCAACATCTCATATCCTAGATCGCTGTGCCGTATTGCTGTTTACTCCACACTGTTCAATTTTCGCATGGACGTAAACTAGTTTACTCGGCCATCACCGAAAAGCATTTCATACCCATCTTTGCAGCAGGATTCATCTTCAAACACTGGAGAAGCTCTTTACTGCGTGTTGCCTCTTGCATGCGATCACCTAGCATTTCTTCATATGTTAGATACTCATATTTTAGATCCAATTTCGAGGTTATCTAGGAATGGGATCTTCAAATTGTTCATGGATCGCAAAAGAACTTCAGCCATGGGTTTCTTTCCAGCAGATTTGTACAAATGTATGGCAGCACTCATAATAAATCGGTCAGGCTCCGCATGCTCCCTTATCCGCTCAAAAAAGTTTATGCCTTTCTCAACATGTCCATAGTCCATGTAACCTCTCAGCATAGTTCGGTGACATCCAAGATCAGGACTTAAACCAGTTGTCAATAGTTTCTGGTAAACCCTTTCTGCTTCTGCCAGAAGACCAGCTTTTGCGTAAGCAGAAAGTAAGTGGTTAAAATGACTACATGAAGGCGAAATGCCTTTCTTCTTCATAACATTGATGGTTTCCTCTGCTTCCAAGTATTTCAAACTCTCTGTATAAGCTTGTACAAGGGAGAGGTATGTGAAGGAGTCCGGAGGCCAGCCATCTTTCTGCATGGCTAGGAAAAGTTCCTCTACTTCACGATAAAGTCCTGCTACGGCGTACACATTGATCATAATATTGTAGCTAACCTGCATTTTCCATGTGAAGATCGGGTGGTAAGAGCTTTTGTTATTTGAAAAAAAAAAAATTCTCATGGTGAAAGATGAAAAGCTAGAATGATTGATTATTCTCGCATTTTGGGGTAGAAATTCACCCCTCAAAATGAGTTGTTGAGATGACTGAACTAGTCACTAAAATCAACAGTATAAGTCAAAAGATGTAATTCTTGTAAAACTACTCAGTCCAATGACAAAGTATAAAGTTTTGTATCTGAGAGAGAGAGAGAGAGAGAGAGATGGAGATAAAAATTTCATTTCGTGTGCGACCATATACTATGCAACCTATAAAGTATAAAGTTTTGTAGTACATTTATGAACATACCTTTCCTGGTTTTATCCCTTCTTCCTGCATTTTGGTGAACAGAACAGATGCTTCATGCCTCTTACCTTCAAAGTAGACAAAAATTGCCAGGTTATGTTAATACCTTGAGCAATGAAGAAAGGAATGCCTTACAAACCTCAGTACTAAAGTAAAACAAAATATACCAATTTTAAAAGGAAGCGAATCTGCCACCTCATAAAAACATTTAATGCTATATTGGGAACATATATAGTATATGCCAAGTTTATGATTTATCTTTCACACTAAAAGCGTACACAAATCTCCTATAGGAAGTGAAATTCGTTGATGCTTTTTTGTGCTAAACATGAACTAAGCCAAAATAGCAAGAAATTGTGTACTTTAAGTGCAATGATATTTGTTTTAAAAATTCAAAGCAATGATGAAAAGAAAAGATATCATTATTTGAGGTATGCAAAAAAAAAAAAAAAAAAAAAAGCTAAAACATCAGATAACTAAAAGGGCGCCAGAATTAAGTGAGCATGGGAAATTATGTGTAAGGTACTCTCTAAGCTGCAATGATTATTTCTTTGTTTTATGTTAAAATTCAAGCAACGAATGCAATAAGGAAAGAAATGATCATCTAAATTGAAGGTTTAATAGCCAGACCAAAAAAATATAAAAAGAAAAGTAGTACTAATATATAAATGCGCGGAACCTTAAGAAATTCTTCAAATACATACTTCAAAACAGAATCTGCAGGATGGGAAGAGAAGCAAGGTGGAAGTTGAGTTTATGCACGAAGGCGTATGAGCCATACATAACGTCATTAATGTAATATACCTATTCATGTATGTCTTCTCATCCAGAAGGAAAGCACTCCCCAAGCTGCAACGCAGTGTCTGTTAAAAAACGAATGTAATGTGGGTTAGTCCCGACCAGCCTTAATCCCAGCTTCTGACCTCGTCCATAGAACACAACCGCATCATTTTAGAGTAATATTAGATGCTATGTTTAGTAAAAGAGCTGCTATAACGCCCCAAAAATATTACAAAATGAGCAGAGATATATCATGAATTGTGATTACCGCTATAATCTTATCTTTTACTATAATAGTTGCTGTCACCTAAAAAAAAAAAAAAAAAAAAAGATATTATAGGACCTTAAGAAATTCTAATACATATTCAAAAGATCTCGCAATGGAGGAAGAGGTGAGTTAGTACCAGCCTTGCCATAATAGCTAATTATATTCATGTATGTCTTCTCATCCAGGGACAGACCCAAGCTGCAAGCAGTGTTAAACATCTCGACAGCCTTATCCAGCTTCTGACCTCGTCCATAGACACTGCATTAATAATTAATTTTATAAAAGCTGAAGCCCCAAATAACAAAAATAAGATATACAAATGTGATTAGTTGTTTCTTTTCATAAAGTTGCTGTCACCTAATCATAGTGTTGTATGTCTGAATTGATGGACTGACTCCAAAGGAAAGCAGGCGTTCATAGATGCTGGCTGCAAAATGCAATCTACCTGCAACATCACTTCTACAGATCAATGCATACTTTATTCTGTACTTATCTTCAAAATTAATGAGATCATCTGTATCAACCTGCTTTTAGCATTGCCTTAATAAAAATGTTGTATGCCACAGTATCAAGCTCCATATTATCCTGAATACTCTTACGGATAATCCTCTCTGCTTCTTGATGTTTGCCTGGAAATGGAATAATCTTGTCACCAATCAAAATTGCCCTAAAGTTAGTAGCATTGCCAACTACACACAAGCATGCCCATCATGACTGCCTTTTTATAAAATCACCAACTAGGCTGAGATGGAAAATTTTAACTTCGGAAACTAAATTGTTGTCAGCAACAGAAGTGTCATGAGGACAAATCATTTGAAAGCTTGAAAGAGTAACTATATTGGATCTGAAAATATAGAAGCTAACAAAAAATGTCGTTGGATCTGAATAACTACCAAAGAATATACGACAATAAATCTACTAGTTTAACTAGAGTTAGTCCTACCAGAATTAGTCAATGAATTCACAAGTATGCCAACGCCAACAGCACCTAAGTCGTGCCCTTTATCAGTTACTTCTTTATAAAGCAAGTATGCATCCTCAGATTTACCACATTTAGCATATGCGTCAATCATTGAATTAAATATTGATTTTCCACAAGTTGGGGAATCTGCAGCTGCTGCAAAGACCTCTTGAGCCTGCTTTAGCTTTTGCCTTTTACCACATAAATTAATCAATGAAGAAATTACTTCATCCTCTAATCTCCAGCCCAGCTTGGTTACTTGAGCATTAACAGCCCCTGCCTTACATGTATCACCTAAGCAGAAGACGATATGTTAGTCCTAAAAGACATCAAAGAGTTATAAAAACAAATAAAACTCTTATGCAGAGATGCAGAAATAAATAACACTGTCAATCATAAAATGTGAAAATGAACATTTCATACCTTCCCTGATGAAGTTGTTAACTACTTGACTCACTATAGACAAACCACCGCCAGTCCCAAGTAACAACTTCAGGATTTCTTGTATCTTATTGAAGTCGCCGTGTCTAAAATACAAAGTAATGATAAGCCCAAGAGCCGTAGTGTTGGCTTGATCAAAGACCGAGAAGTATTCACAATCCTTGTTTTCTCCATGCATTATCTTACAGAATGTCTGGAAAAATCTACTCTCTCTGAATGATACATTTGTGCCCATCTCTTTTGTCAGCAGTTCAGCTTCTCTTAGCATGCCCTCCTCGCAAAGTACTTTAATAACTGTCCTATAAAGCTCCTCATCAAAATCTACTTGATCTTTTCTTATTTGGATGATAAAGTCCTTAGCTTTTTCAGTCATCTGCAAGCTCAGATACAAATTGAGCATGTCATTGCAAGAGCCAGCATCAGGAAGTCCAGTCTTTGATAAAGCATGAAAAGTACTTTCAGCAGAGTCCAGATCTTCTTTCATAACATAGCATTGCAACAGAACAATATAAGCAAATCTTGATAACCAAATATTTCTAGACTTCATCACTTCAATCACACTCAAAGCTTTCTCAAAATTTCCTGAATTAAGATGCACTTGTGCCATGGCTAAATATGTTTTCTCATCACTTAACAAACCCAGTTGCTCAGTCTCTTCAAACGTTCTTTGGGCATCCTCATACAGGCCAAGTTTCCCATATATTCTAATGAGCAACCCATAGATGACTTCATCAGCCGCAATTTTCTTGCTCTGCATTTCTGTAAAGAGAGAAAGGGCTTTAGAATAATCCGCTTTTTTATAATACATGGTCAGCAGTGATGCACATGTGAAATTACTAGGAACTATTCCATGAGATTGCATTTCCTCATATAATCTCCCTGCTTCATCCCAGTTAAAATTTCTAATACTAATAGTAATAAGCAAGCTATATGTCACTTCCTCAGGAACATGCCCACCGTTCTTCATTTCATTAAACAACTTAAAAGCCTCATCATGAAAACCTTTCTTGACAAGTGAACTGATAATCACAGTATAAGTAAAACTATTTGGTGTCACCCTTTTATCCACCATTTTCCTCCATAATTCTATGACCCTGCCATGAAGAGATTTCTTCTGCAGAGAGGACAGCATAAAGTTGTAAACTGAAACTGAGAGTATAATTCCCCTTTCTTGTATAGCAGAATAAAATGAAGACATAGCTTTATGTCGACCCCATCTTGCATATGAACACAACATAGTACCACAAGCAACTTCATCAGGTTCACATCCCACTTCAAGCATCTCCAAGAATGTCTGTTCAGCCAACTTGATTTTACCAACTTGCCCATACATTCGTAAAACAATTGTGTAGACTATGACACTTGGCCGATAGCATAACTGTTAGAGCACAGTTCTGTCATGTTCACAAAACTAATTTCTAAGAAAAAGAGAATCAAGTTTTAGTCAAGCAAAAAATAAATAAAAAAAATCAATTGCTTTGCAGCACACTAAGGGTTAAAAGAAGTCTAAAATAAACACTCATTAGAAGCTAACAACCAAATTCCATATGAAGTTCACCAATATAAATTTATACACTTATCTGAAGACAAGTAAATTAATTCATTTTAACAAAATATAAAGTCGGTACTAAAAAGGGCGTGTAGCTATCCACTGTAAACCCACCAGAAACCAAATACAAACATCTCAAAGTATGAATTTTCCAGCCAAGTCCCTGAATTATAACTACCACATACAAAACAATAAAGCTATTAAGATTGAGCAATATGCATATATATAAGTATCCACAGGAGGGGGAAAAAAAGATATAATACACAATAATTAAAGGAATTCAAAATTAGAGAATATACTTGCAATTTCATCCAGGCAAAGAAGTCTCTAGCCTCCCTCCATCCTTTCTGCTCCTTCAGAACAACACACATCTCTTGAAAAGTTAACTTCCCTACAAACCCACTCATTAGTAACCTCACATTTCTCTCCTCTTCTCTCTTCCTAGCCATCCCCCTCACTGTCTTTATGGCTGCAACCACATGCTTTCCATAAAGATGCCCATTCTTATTATCCTCCAAGTACTTCACCATCTGTTCGGGCGTTCTCTTTATCCATTTGGGCGTCTGGGCGTGTGGACCCTGGTGTTTCCGCAGCAAGCTTAAGTATTGCGCTTTAGCTTTGATTATGCGCCTTGCGTTGTCGTCTGATAAGGGTTTCTTTGGGTTTTTTGATCTGGGTTTGGGTTTAGAAATGTTACCGTCGCTTAAAGACCAGGGGTCTGAATGAATTGAAGACTTGATGGAGGTTTTGTAGTTTGCTTTAACTGGTCTGTGAGATTTTGGTTTTGGTTTGAGAGGTGGAGGAAGGAAGGAGGACTTGAGGATGATGGAGTCCATTTCTTTTCTTTCTCGCCGTTTCGTGGGAAATTTGGGAGTTTCGCGCAAGTTTTTGAATTGAAAGAAGGAGCTGGATGTAGCGATTTTGCAGTGACAGGATTTGCAGAATACAAGATAAACTTTTGTTTTCAGTTTTAATTATTTGGATATTTTTTGTTCATAGGAAGTGGACATGGGCTTGACACTCAAGTCTACCCTTGACCTTTCGTCCTGTTTTTATTTATTATAAGTAGTTTTTGCCGATTAGTTTTTATCACAATATAATTCATTTTCAGGATTTTAAAAAATAATAAATAATATTTTTTAATATTATTTTTATATAATAACTCCTCAATTATTGTTATTGAGATAAAAGACAATTTGATCAAATTATGATTAAATTATCCTTGAATTTGTTATAATTTAAAAGTATTAATTGCTTCTTTAATTATTGTACAAGTATTTTGAAATAAATATCTCAAAACATAGGGAGTAAGTTATATTCATTCTACCCCATATATATAGATTCACTTTTCTTTTTCATTTATCCAAAAATGTAAACCTATTTCCTTTTTCTTTTTTTAAAATATCATTTATTATCTAATTTCTTAACATATCCCTAGTCAATGTACATTTTACATTTACAATTGATATGCATCATTTATATTATAAAGAAATATCTTGAGAAAAAAAAAAACCAAACAAAAGATATAATTCAATTATATTAATTAGTTTTTCTTAATCTATGTGAAAAGCTAATTAGTTTTTATTAGTCTATATGAAAATCAAAAGAGGGCTATATATATAGAATAGAGGAAATTTGAAGTTCTGATTAAATGCTTTTATCATTGTAATTGTCGATGGTCATTCATTATTTTTATCATGATGAATAAAAAAAATTAATATCATAAATTTTTATCATCATACGTTAAGTTATATAATAAGGTAGAAATAAATTAAAATTTAGTTGAAAGAGAGTTAGGATGGAAGTGATTTAACTTTTCAAAATCATCAATCATAACTATTACTTGTACAAAATTTATCACTACCTAACTTTAACGGAGGGCTCGTCAGAAAGTTATGGGCTGAAAGCAAGGGAACAAAACAATACAGACTATTGCATTCTTCAATTTATAGTCATGCTCATACTCTGTGCTTCTTTGGGATAGAAGAAAAAGCTGCACTATTATGCACCCAAAAAAAAAAAAAAAAAAAAAAAAAAAAAAAAAAAAAAAAAAAATGGAATCAACAAAAAAAAAAAAAAAAAAAAAAAAAAAAAAAAAAAAAAATTGGAATCAACTTGCCTATCCATCTGCTAACATCCTTCATTCATAGGCCTCGAAATGCTAATAAAAGAGAAGTACAAAGAAACTGTGCATGCAGTATATGAATATTTGTTAAAGAAATACATAGAAACTGTGTACATGAATATTTCTTGTACAGAGCATAAGGGCAAGCAGCTAACTAAGATAACAAATATAACCATCTTTTGCTACCTCTTAACACAGATGCATCACACATTGGGCTTACTACCTCCTAAACATACCCGAATTTTGAAGTGTTCGGCTATACTCAGCAATGATGGCAGAGCTTTTAACTAGTTCCCATATCTTCGCAGAATTTTTCAGCCAGTCCCGTTCTGAGACCGTCTTTGCAAAGGAAGGGCAGTCCATAGATAAAACCTGAAGGGAAAAAGAGTATAAAACTGAGAATTTCAATCTTCTGTCATATGCCATGACCAGAAGCATGATAATCAAATAGCTAAAACATTATATACACTTTATTGTAATAAAAGAGAGAGATAGAGACAGACCTCATCTCGCAGTTTCCATAGTGCAGAGATGAAACTCTCGTGTTGAGGTCTTGGCAAGTCATCTCTGTTGTTAGATGGGATTAAAAATAAATTCAGAGGTGAAAAATGAACATCATTACACCGAGTAGTAGAAGCCACGGAAGACGAGAGATCTTCTTTTCCCTTGTTTTTGCCTTTCTCTCTCACAAATGAAGATGAGCTGAAGTACAGTGCGAGTGCCTTCTTCAGTTGCATTGAGGTAATTGGAGTAAAATCTTGATCATGCAATCTACAATCAGAAAGAGATTAATAAATGAGCTTAACTGCATATAGTAGGAATGAGAAACACGGCCGCATCTTTAATTAGTTCTGAAGTACAAATTTTAAGCAATCAGCCAATAACTTACTGCACCTACAATTCTATAAAACAAATGTCACAAAATACAGTAAGTTACCAACAAGCAGTTACATATGACTAACACCAGTAATAAAAGATTATGCCAACATATTAAATTGATCATTCATTTGCCTCACAAACTTATTTAGAATACAAGTGCCATTTTATAAGTATAAAAATCATCACATGGATCTTGTAAATATTAAATCTATTGAAATTGTTCGCAAATAACAGCTCCACCATTTTGTAGTGGCTCCAGCCTTCAGAACACATCAGCGCAATCACATTAACATGCAGTAATGACCATGTGCGGATGTGATTCCACAATGTCTACATATCATTTAATTGCAATTATAACATTGCAAAACTACAATAGCAACAGAAAACAAATTGACTTCATTAATCCAGTGCAAGAGACAATATGAAATTTATACTGCAAGCCTGGAAGGAACAAATCATAAGCATGTGTATGTACAATGTGACAAATCAACTTTATCATATAGCCATGTGGGCCAAATACTGAAACCAAGAAATGGTTCTTCATGAAACTAGCATATAGAGATAAATGCCTTGAAAAACTTGAAAACTAATACAATAACCACGACACACAACCCATTTGAAGGAGGAAAATTAAACCATGTCTTTCGCTAATATTCTGTACAACTCAATTAAAGGCTGCAAACACTATCAAATTGTTGCCTCCACACAAGGTAATTATTTAGCATCACAGAAAAAGATTACTTACTTCGTATGCACAAAGACTGGAGTAGCCATATATTCTTCACCTTCAATGATTTTATCTTTGTTTTCTTTTTCAGGCCCGGCGTTAGAGCTCTGCATATGTGAAGGTGTTAACGAAGATGGATCAGGTATCCCATGTTTCAACAGGTCAACCTGCGAATAGAAAGAAACAATTGTAATTTTTCCAGCCAGAATGTCCAAGGATGAGAGTAACAAGAAGATCAATAGCCAAACGAGATGCAACAGAAACGCCTAGAAATTAGGCAGATTACTAGCATAATAACTTTCTGGTGCAATATGAAATATCACACATTAGTGAGCAGAAGATTAGGGTGGGAATGATACCGTCAACATTAAATGCCACATATCATCATCATGAACTCCATCTGATACCACCAGCACAATGTGACAAATGGATGCTAGAAGAACACCGAGCTAAAGGGAATCCTTACAGAAGACCATAAATATATAAATTCATTAGACATTCTATGATTGTCAATCGAAAGAATACCAAAAGGAGTAGGTAGAATCAATATGTACAAAGATTATGCTCTAGTACAGAAGTAAGATGTGCACTTTCTCTTTACTCACCTGAATAGCCATAAGTTCATGAGCCAATTCAGCAGATAGATTTTCACCACTTAAAACTGAAATAGTGGACGAACCATCAGGTCTCATCATCTCAGATAGTATAGAAGGGCTAAAAACAGGCTGCAAATAAACAAAAATTGTAATAGGGGTAAAGGGAAGGAAAAAGAAAAAGAAGGGAGGGGGGGGCTAAAACAGGCTGCAAATAAACAAAAATGTAATAGGGGTAAAAGGGAAGGAAAAAGAAAAAGAAGGGAGGGGGAGGGGGGGGGGGGGGGGAATTAACAGAGAGATAATCGAAGAAAGTCGGGGATAAAGGTTGAGTCAATTAAACACAATTTAAAAAAGGCATGGATACCCACAAATCTGGTGGGGGGGGGGGAATTAACAGAGAGATAATCAAGAAATGTCGGGGATAAAGGTGAGTAATACACATTAAAAAGGCATGATACCCACAAATCTGGTGTCAAAAAATTGGAGTGAACTATTGTTTATAAGCTTCGAAAGTATGCTGCTCAAGCATATGTCCAGTTTTCTGTTAAAAGAATATAGGAATGGAATTTTCCATGTTCTGTCAGGAATTTTTTTCACATGTTATAGTGTGAAAGGCAACCTCATAAATTCATCGTTTAGACTCAATTGTAGAAGCACTCTCTTGGTCTTCATGTATTTATTCATTATGTGGAAGACCTCTTTAAAGTAATTTTAAATGGTCAATTAATACTCCAAGTCAGAATACAGTAAACCATGTTGTTTGCATGTCATAAGAAAAAACAAATCAGGTGCATGATTCAAAAGAGAGGTTTATAATCAAAACCTGGGTGTCAAGAAGTATAAGCCTCTCAGCAGATATCCTTGGTTCAATGCCTACACTGCAATGTCTAGCCATTGCTCTGTTATCTTCTGTCTGTATAGTAAATGGCGGCAGCATTCCTGTATTATAGAATTGCAAAGTTATCTTCGGGAAGTAGTCTTACAACAAATAAAACATCACATATGAACTCAAGCAGACAAATAGCATTTTGCTATGAGAACTAATCAGAAAAGCATCTTATTGCCCCTCTTTTTAAGACTGCCGTCAGATGAATGGTTATAGCTTCTCACTAAAGTCACCTTAACTTGGTTTCAACTTTCTTCCACATAACTGAAATTGCTAGACACTCATATAAAAAGCATAACATTGCCACTTCTATAATCATTCACTACCAAGAACAAAACTCTATACTACAGTTCTTCTTCTAGTCAGGATAAAACCCAAAAATATAATTGCGAAAGAAAGGTGACTATAAGAGAAATGAAAATAAATGTTTTAGTTAAAAATCATACTGAAACTAAGCACCCATAAATTACCAAATACAACCTATATAGACAATTAACAACAATGTGAACGTATAAATTCGAAAGGAATAAGTATCTCGCACTTATAATATAAAGAAAATACTAACCAGGTGAACTTCCATCAAAGCCATAAAGTTCATTCATGATGGTTGATTTGCCAACTCCAGGCGGCCCAATCACTCCAACGACCGTGAAGTCTGTATTCTCAGTCAGAAACTGCACAAAATCACAAACTTTTATCAAGCTTTAGCTTCACAATACCCATATTATTCCCCAAACAACTTTAAAAAAAATCTCCACCAAATTGAAGCTAAAGCGATACATATAGACACAAAAGTAGCATGAGAGTTACAGGAAGAAAACGATCAATGTGAAATTCCCAGGAATCAGAGAGGAGATTGAGAGAGCCGATTGCAGGTAGACGAGACCTATGCGATACAGTTTCATCTTCGGCACCGGCACGGCCGAATTTACCTACCACCGGCCCAGAAGTGACAAGACCGGGCTTTGCCAAAAGGATTTTAGGAGCAGGAGGAGCCGGTGAGGGATTGGAAGAACCGGTGCCGCTAGTAGATCCTGCCATTGAGTCGGGTTTGGACCTCGGAGCTGATTTTCAGTTGCCCAAGCCTAGCTTCAGTTTGCACTTTGCAGTTCGTAGTTCTGACATTAGTTGATGAAAACCACCTCTAAATTTTATTTAGCTGAGCGAATTGGGCTCGGTAAGGGTCAACAACAGCTTTGTTTGGGTTAGTTTTTTCTGGCCCAAAGCCGACAAAGCAAACTTCTTCGGTATTAGACTTGTTTAAACCCGGTAAGCCTATCTACAGACCAATCAATTAAAATTGAGATTTTTTAAAAATTATCTCTATTTTATTTTATCTTTTTTTTCATAATTAATCGTTATAATACTCTCATTTTAATAAAAAAAATACTTTGGTTCATTAATGAGTACGTAGACGGGTCCAAGCAAGTCAATCCTGTTTAATAATTTTATATATAAAAGTTCAATCAAGTTAACACTACGGTTTTTTAAAATTGACTACTTCATACTCAAAATATAGAGTGATTCTGCAACAAATCGATAAGTTAAATGTATTTTTATAAATTTAGTATGTAAAATAATTCAATAATCATGATTTATCATGATCATAATGATCATTTTGCATATTCTGAGATTAATTTGTCTAGACTTGGATCATGTATGAGCTCGTATCCATAGACCAACCAATGGAAAGTAATCTTTCACTGCATTGAGGGTTTACTAATGAATTAATCACATTTTTGGACAATATTACTTATAATCAATTTATAAGGAAAAAACACACACACACACAAGAAGCTATTAGCATAATTACTAATTTATTTATCATAAAGAGAGATCTACACTCTCTAACACATTACCGCAACATTCTATTCTTACTGATATATAGCTTACATGCAAACCAACCAAGCAACAAGTTCTTCTTACGAGCTACCAATATTAGCAAATTCGATAGCCCCATCATTAATTTAATTGCCCGGAGCTATTATTACCATTCCCAGTATTAGTATGGCTGCCGCTATTATGATAGGAATAAGGGTTTGGATAACTAGGATTGGCATAATAAGGCAGCGGTGGTGGTGGAGGAGGCGGAGCAGGGGGATAAACATAATAAGGAGGAGGAGGAGGAGGAGCATAGCAGTATTGTGGTGGTGGTGGAGGAGTTATTATATATTTCTGTGTATAAGCAAAACAAACAGGAGGAGGAGTAGGAGGAGCATAGCAGTGTAGTGGTTTTGGTAATAATGATATACATTTTTTCATGTCAGTCTCTTCAACTCTGTGTAGCTTATCAATCTTTGGGTCGAAATGGTCTCGCACTTGTTCTTTAATTCGTTCTGCCATAGCTAGTTGCTTGTAACTATCTTAATCTTACTATGCTTGCAGGAATAGGAACAAGGAAATTCTTATTATATAGAGGTTGCCAGAGAATCTATGAGGAACATTAGCTTCAGACCAAAGCTACTTCGTTAATTAGAAATCCCAAAATTGTCTTTCCCATTTATCATTGGGTGCATGGTTATTGTGTACAACTTCACAACGTGATTATGACATCTGTTTCCTTTGGGCGAAGGTGGAAATGTGTTGAATCTAGAACGCATAATTTATTATGGATGCTTTATTCTATCTCCACTTATAAAATGCCAAATTGACACAATAGACTTACGTTACGATCTCAAGAGCTTTGCTAAAAAAAATAGAAGAAATATATATACATAGAGACATGCAAAATCTGAGAAAACCACACGAATTTTTTACTATAGCAGAGGTGAGGCATCAGGCTGGCATGGCACAAGCATAAAAAACTTTTTGAGATGCACGATGTAGAACTAATACATTTTTTTTTTAAATTCACACATAGTAATATGGAAAAAACTTATACAGGTCTATGGTTCTCTTTATAGACCAAATAAATGAAACTAAAGATTCTTTAAGAAGTATTCTCACTTAGGTAAGTTTTTCGCTAATGATATTGATATCTGGTGTTATATTAGAGAAGAAATCAAATTATATAAAAATGAAAAATAATTGTTTTTATTTTATCTTATTAGATGAGCTATATGAAAGGGTACTCTTTTATAGGCTTCAAATTCAAATCCATTAATTAAGGAATTCAAGCTTTCATTATCACAAGATGTGACATAAAATCACTTCGTCAATTTATTTGTTATTTCAAATTATACAAAATTCACTATTGAGTTAGTGAATCTCAAATTAAGCTCAATTTTAAGTTTGCAAAAAAAGCCATAATTTTTTTTTTTTTTGAAAAATAAAAATTATAAACTGTAAATAAATTGAGTTTGAGTTTGAATATATTTTTAGCAAACCGAACTCAAAAGTAATTATTAGAAATTGTAACGTTCATATAATCATCCTAATAAACAGAGGATGATGAAACATATCTATGTATATGTAATGACTTCATTTCATAGCCAACTTTGATTCCAATTAATCTATATTTTTTTAATTATTTTAATTTTAATTTTTTTTATTTTTCCTATTGTATTTTAATTTTACCTAACTAGTTGAAGCATGATTCTTCACAGCACAAACAAAGCATTCGACAATGAGAACCCATTTCCCAACCACTAACGCGTGTGTATATATTGGTGGATGCTTTGAAAGTGGAAGAAGAATATAACGATGCTTCAAAGCAGCAGGAGACTCCGCCCAAATAGTTAGGAGGCCAAAAAATAATTTTATTTAATTATAAATGGCAAAACAAATTTTTTTTTTAAATTTTTTACATTAAAAATTGATTTTTTTTTTTTTTTTTTTTGATGCTTCAAAGCAGCAGGGAGACCTCGCCAAATTAGTTAGGAGGCCAAAAAATTAAATTTATTTAATTTATAAATGGCAAAACAAATTTTTTTTTTAAATTTTTACATTAAAAAATTGATTTTTTTTTTTTGTTTTTTTTTTTTTTTTTTTTGAGAGGGCCACGGCCCCTTCGCCCTAGCTTGCGTCTGCCCCTGCTTCAAGTATAGAAACCGTAAAACCCCATTGAAAAAATGAGGAAAGAATTATCTTTTTTTTTTAAAAGACAGAGATAGTGCAATCGTACTTTTAAAAAGAGAAGGATATGATCATAATCTTTTCTTCTAATTTTGTTATTTATAGTGTTATTTATTTATCTTTTATTTTTTATTTTTTTGCATATATGCTATTGCCACCAACTTATATGGATGAAATTAATTCAGGTTGACGTTAGATATAAAGTCTTCCTAGTAATGATAGCAATTTTAAATTTCAAAGTTTCAATATTATTGAAAAAGTTCATACGCAAATCGAGATGGAGCTAGACTTTAAAATTTGGATGCCAAAAAAAAAAAATTCAAAATAAAAATTTCCAAAGCAAAGAAAGATTTTTTTTTTTTTCACTGTATTATAAAGTAAAATTATAAAAATTTTTGGAGTTTGAGGGTCGGTGCTCCTCCAAATCCAATATCCCCCTCTCTCCCCACTGCATGGGAATATAATCCTCTTCGAATGATCTAACCATTGTTGGCGTTGTTAATATTGCAAAAATTGCAGCAACATCATTTTGTTTTCTTTTGTTTTTTACTTTAGATGGAAAAGCCCATGATTTTATTCACTTACAGAAGTCAAAATTGGATTGGAAAAAAAAAATCCTTATAAAAATTATGTTTTATTCCTGTAAAAATTAAAATATTTTATTTCCCCTCCGGTATTTTTATTTTAAAAACACCTAAATAAGATATATGGACCAAATAAATGAAGATAAAAAATGAACATAATAAGCAAATTATTTGCTGTACAAATATATATGATCAATACTCAAAAATAAACATAATAAGGAAATTAAATAATAGATCGGTAGTTAAAGATATTACCATAATATTTTATTTATCATGAAATAAAGAGGTACATATAAGACCTCATATATATATACATGACCTCATATATATATACATATATATATATAATATATATATATATATATATAACACAACAACCAGGTTCTTGGACAGGTTATATATATAACACAACACAGTCTTGGACAGGTAGATACTTACGTTGGTCATAACTCTAAAGCCGCAGACATGTTATTTAATTGTTTTGAACAGCTAGCTGCTAACTTTCACTTCACACTTAGCTTCATTAATTAATTACTCATACCAAGTTCTTAAGAGCTGCCTATGTTGCCAAATTTCATAGTTCCTTCGTTTTTTTGACCGGAACTATTATTACCGTTGCCGGTATTGGTATGGCCACCACTATTATGGTAAGAATAAGGAGGATATGGATAACCTGGACCTGGCTGTGAAGGGTGGCCATAATAAGGTGGTGGTGGAGGAGGAGCCGGAGGATATCCATGGTTGTTATGAGGTGGCGGAGGATGAGCCGGAGGATACCCGGGATACCCATAGTTACCATTATGAGACGGTGGCGGAGGAGGAGGAGGAGGAGGAGCAGGAGGATATCCATGATTTCCATTATGAGGTGGCGGATGATGAGCCGAAGGATATCCGGGATACCCATAGTTTCCATTATGAGGCGGTGGCGGAGGAGGAGCAGCATAGCTGTTGGGATTGCATTGTGGTGGCGGCGGAGGATAGGAATGATAAGATTCATAAGACGAAGGTGGTTGTACTAAACATTTTGATGAAGCTTTCTTCTTGAGGTTGGTCTTTTCTTCAGGATGAGTATCAGTAACCCAGTTGAAAAGACCGCGAGCAACGCCATGTATGGCACCGTCCAGTGGAGCTAAAGGAAAAGTTACAACATCAGCTACCCTGTGCAGAGTATCGAACTGTAGTTCGACACTGTCTCTCACCTGATTTTTAACTCGGACAGCCATAGCCACACTGTTCTATAACTAGCTTAATTACTTATGCTTTGGTTATGGTGCACTGATACACTTAATATATACAATCTATTTATGGATGTGTGCAGGGATGATGAAGAATATATTTTCTGCTTCGTACTAAAGCTACTTTTTCTCTATAAGAATTATTCATATTCACCATATTATGTGGAGAAGAGGACTGCGACTATTTTATTTTTCATGGTTTTTTCTTTTTAGAGAAATAATGGAATTAAACTTGTTATCCCACTTGCAGTATGGGAATTATCTAGTAGGGTGCCAATTACCATTTTAACGCAGATGGGGTTGAAT